TGGTCTCCTTGCTCTAAAATCCTAAAAATCATTCCCAATGACTTTTAAACTATTCATTGCACTCGGGAATAAAGTGTGTTTCTTTCTTTTCTTTTCTTTTTTTTTTTTTTTTTAAGATTTATGTATTTGTGCACACAAGAGCTGGGGTACAGGCCAGAAGTGAGGGAGGGTGAGAGGATTCACCAGAGACAGAGTGGGGAGCAGAACAGACAGCAGAAATACACTGCTGAGGGGAATAGTGGGTGAGGCAGGAGAGGTCTGCTGCGCCATATGGATTCTCCATGGCCAGTCAGGGAGCAAACTCGAGTGGCAGAGGCTGGGGACAGCTTCATAGCGCTGTGCTCAACTCCCTGCACCACCAGGGAGGCCTCGTGTGTTTCTTTATTCTACGATGAATCTAACCCTTTGAATTAGTTTCTCTCTTTTTTTTTTTTTTGACCATCTGCTTAGAAGGTTGGGGAAAGAATTTAAAAATGAAATTTTCATTTAAAAATGAACAAGGTGAGGGCCCCCCTGGTGGCACAAGGGTTAAAGTCAGCACTGTCAAGCTGTTGGCAGCCACTGCAGCATGGGTTTGATCCTTGGCCAGGGAGCTAACCCCCGTAGCAAGGCAGACCTCTCCTGTCTTGCCCTCTGTTCCCCTCAGCAGTATAATTCAGTGGATCTGCCTGTTCAGCTCCCCACTCTGTCTCTGGTGAATCCTCTCACGCCCCTGCAACTCTGGCCAGCACTCCAGTTCTGTATGCATAAATAAAAATAAATCTTTAAAGTTGGTGAAGCATACCTATCTTTAAAAAAAAAAAATTGAACAAGTGATTTGGTATTTTGCACTGATAGGTGTGAAATATTGGGTTTTTTTTTAATACTCCTTTAATTTACAATAAAACATTCAAGCCTGAATGTTTTCATTAACTAATTGGAATGCCAACAGAAAAAAAGGAGGAAATTTTTAAAATATTTCTTTTTTTTTATTTTAAAGATTTATTTATTTATGCATACAAGAACTGGGGGACAGGCCAGACATGCGAGGGGGTGAGAGGATTCACCAGAGACAGAGTGGGAACAGAACAGGCAGACTGACTGAAATACACTGCAGAGGGGAGCAGCGGGAGAGGCAGGAGAGGTCTACCTCACCATGTGGGTTGCTCCCTGGCCGGCTGGGGATCGAACTCGTGCTACAGAGGCTACGGATTGCTTCATAGTGCGGTGCTTAACCCCTTGCACCACCAGGGAGGCCCCCTAAAAGATTTCTTAGCAGGCAGAAAAGTGATGCTAGAAAGTCCACGTTTAAAACCTATTCTAGGGCCTCACTGGCAGCTCAAGGGATTAAGCACCACACTGTGAAGCAATCCGCGGCCTCTGCAGCATGAGTTCGATCCCCGGCCAGCCAGGGAGAAACCCACAGGGTGAGGCAGACCTCTCCTGTCTCGCCCGCTGCTCCCCTCAGCAGTATATTTCTTTCTTTCTTTTTTTTTTAATAGAGGCATGTTTTATTTATTTGTTTGTTTTGTTTATACATGCACTGGGTACAGTCAGAAGCACGGGAGGGTGAGAGAATTCACCAGAGCGGGGAGCAGAGCAGGCAGAAGGACCGAAGTACACTGCTGAGGGGAGCAGGGGGCGGCAGGAGAGGTCTGCGCGCCATGTGGGACCCTCCTCCCATCGCTGGGGAGCAGCCGGGGATCGAACTGGCGGCGCCGCAGAGGCCACGGGCAGCTTCGCAACCCAGCGCTCAACCGCTGCGCCACCGGGGAGGCCCTCGGCAGTATATTTCAATCTTCCTGTTCTGTTCCCCCATCTGTTGCTGGTAGATCCTCTTAACTGCCCCCCCCCCCACATCTCTGGCCTGCACCCAACCTTGTATGCATAAATAAATAAACCTTAAAAAGAAGAAAAAACGTTAAAAAAAATAAAATAAAACCTGTTCTAAAACTTTAGTTACCAGACAACCTCTTTAGTTTTCAGAACCTATCTACTTACTTTTTAGAAGCGGGTTTAAGCATATTGGCTGAGATTTTCTACCTTCAGCAAGTTAGAATCAACAAGGACATTGGTATAATAATAGCAATAAAAATTTAACAGGAATGGCATAGAAAAATCATTAAAAATCTTAGTCAACACTAAGAACTTCAGATCATAGATTTGAGAGGTCAAACATACCTCTGTAGCTTAAAGAAATGGTGGGGAGGGAAAAAAAGTTTATTATATATACATATATACACACAAGCATAAATCAGATTCTTGTTCTTTAAAAGATTAAATGTAGTCGTATAGTATAACTTGTTGAAGAAGATAGCGTCCAATAAAAAATAGTTCATTTTTAATAGTTCATTTCCTTATCTGAATATTTACTTGTGAATGGATTCTTTATTCTCCATGAGATGATCACTGAGATAATATAAAACTACATAATCTTAAGGCGATGGGAGTATAAAACTTAAAATTAACTTTTGTATTTCTTTTTCAACAGACAGCTGGAAATGATCCATATTGTTTTGTGGAGTTTTATGAGCATCGTCATGCAGCTGCAGCACTAGCTGCTATGAATGGGCGGAAGATAATGGGTAAGGTAAGCTATCCTAATTAAAGAAGGTGACTTGCACTTGAAAATGTGAAGTTGCATACAGCTTTGTTTTCTTTTTAGAAGTATTATATTAAAAAGGTAGGATAAAGCTTTTAGAGGGCAAGTGTACATTAGTTTTCTCCATGATACCTTCACATGGTAAATACTAAAATATTTTTTCTTTTTTTTTTTTTTTTTTTTTTTTTTTATAGAGGCATGTTTTTCTTTATTTGTTTGTTTGCTTGTTTGTTTGTTTTGTTTATACATGCACTGGGTACAGTCAGAAGTGCGGGAGGGTGAGAGAATTCACCAGAGCCAGAGCGGGGAGCAGAGCAGGCAGAAGGACCGAAGTACACTGCTGAGGGGAGCAGCGGGCGGCAGGAGAGGTCTGCGCGCCATGTGGGACCCTCCTCCGGTGGCCGGGAGCAGCCGGGGATCGAACCGGCGCTGCAGAGGCCGCGGGCAGCTTCGCAACCCAGCGCTCTACCGCTGCGCCACCGGGGAGGCCCTAAAATATTTTTTGAATTACACAAGTTTGCATAAACCATCTGAGAACATAGATTACTACTGGGCAAGAATAAATAGGAAATAAATTATTGGTATTTTAGATGAGAAAGGCTAATGGAATGTTAAAGAGATGTATGTAAAATTACAATTTGTAAAAATTCTTTGTGAAGATAAGTTTTGGAACTTTGACTAGAGCTGGTTGGTACCCTCATGAATGTTTCATCTCAAACATATACCTTCCCACTTGTTCAGAGAATTGTTGTACTAGCTGATTTTGAGCTTTTTTTTTTTTTTAAATGTTAACATAGAAACATTTTTTTAGGAAGTCAAAGTGAATTGGGCAACAACCCCCAGCAGTCAAAAGAAAGATACAAGCAGTAAGTATATTTTATGCTTTTTGAACATTTATTTTTATTATACACAGTAGTTTTATTGTAAAGCATATAAACATCGTACATGTTTGCAGTAATGTTTTGATCGTTATCCTAAGATATGATTGACTGTGTTTGTGTTAATAAATTTAAGAACAAATCTAATCTTTGTCATCAGGTAGTACCGTTGTCAGCACACAGCGTTCACAAGGTAATTGTATCTTCTTAAACATAAAATGAAATCTCTTGAAAGGGTATTCACTAACCACCTAAAGTTTTTTTGTTTGATGTTGGGGGAGGTGGGTGGGAGGAGGTCATGTTTCTGTTTGTGTCTCTGGCAATATTTTTCCCCCTTCTTCCCAGTGTTGACCAAGTGTGGTTTGTCCACTACTTTGGTGCTATTTCAAGCTCTCTGACCCCTTTGGTAGCAGCTGATGCCTTAGAAATACTTTCACCAACTAAAGGGCAAGATTCCCTGCTTCCTTGAGGTCACGATCTGTGCTTCATACCCAGATCTTCCGGTTGCTTGAGTTGATCCTGAAACTGTGTTTCCCAAATGACAACCCAATATGTTGCTTAAGGCCTGCCAACTAGGGGTAACTTTTCTTTCCAAATATACTTTGTCAAAATTGATATATATGTACATTTAAAAATGTTGAAACCACTGTTGTGTATTTTTTAAGTGTTTCTTTTTTTGAGCATTGTCTTTAAAAAAAAAAAAAAAGCAAAACACATATGGGGATCATTATTTCTCTCCAATGCTTTTTTAATGGTTCTGCTATAAAGTGAAGGGATTACTGTTTTCATTCTGTTGCCTTCAGTCTTAGTTCACTTGCACATGGATTCACATAAACTGAATGGTGTAATGTCTGGGCAACCAAAACTGTTGGCTTTTGAGAAAACTGTCAAATACTTTAACATCAAACTGTTGCAATGCAAGGTATTTCTTTGATTGTTCTTCAAAAAATATGGTTAAACCAAGTATATCATGTAGCTAGCTTCAGTAAATTGTTTTAACTGAGGCAAATCTAGACTACATAATTCACAGTACCACTATTTTGTTTCAATTTGTAAAGCCTTAATATAGTGGTAAACTGAATAAATGTAAATAATTACTATTAAGATGGTAATTAAATCATTAAATTTTTTTTTTGCAAAACTTGTTATATGATACTAGTTTATTTTCATAGACCAGTATAATAATTGGCTGTCAGTAGAAATATACCTGTCAGTTTCGATTTAGATGTATCAGTCCCTTAGGAGAATCTTTCCTGTATTGTCACCCTGATTTGTAATGTTAAAAATTGATAGAATTTATATAGATATAGGATAGTGTTTTACTTATACTTTACTGTAATCCATAAATTATTTTAAGAATACTTTATAAATAGATTTTAGTATTTTTTAAATTCTAAAATTTTATTTTTCTTTTCACTTCCCCTTCCTTCCCCTTATAAGATCATTTCCATGTCTTTGTTGGTGATCTCAGTCCAGAAATTACAACTGAAGATATAAAAGCTGCTTTTGCACCTTTTGGAAGAATATCGTAAGTAATAAAGATAAATTTAAAATGCTTTTAATTAGAAACAATCTTTTATAAAAGTAATTTGAAAATCTGTTGTGAATATTGGGCTTTAATTTTAACATTTAAATATAATGTTACATTATTTAGAGACTATCCAAGCAGTTAACAACAAAAGATTGTTTTCCTGTTATAAATCAATCTTTGGCCTCCATTGATCTTAACACCCTTTTCCAATTAGCATTAGCTTTTAAGGGATAAATTTGCTGCTGTACTTAATTTTTAAATAAGTGTCTTGCTAGCTTGGTCATACTCTAGTAAACGTGTGCTGTGACTAAGGAATTTAGACCCTTTGGGCACGTCTGTGATATGATGCATTTTGTGTTAATATATTTTAATAAAAGGAAACATTAACAATTCAACCTAAAAAGCAGTTATTAAAGGTTATTTCCCAGGTAACGACCCTTTTGTTGTTGTTGCTGCTGTTGTTATAATAATAATGATAATAATGCTTTTTAGTTTTTTATGAAGCACTGTCTTGATTGCATTTGTTATTAATCATACATTTTAGGTTCTTTGAAAATACCATACTCAAGTTAATATTATTCATCACAAAAGAACTTCGATATTTTGAAAAGCATGCCATATTAGAGTAAAAGTAATAAAATGGTTGTAGTACTTTTTTAAGAAGTAATGTTGAATTTAGAAAACAACTTTTTTTAGTGTTTCTTGTTCTTTTATTACTGTTCATTCAAGAAGAGTAGTAAAAAAGAAACACTAGCTTTGGTTTGGTTTGATGAACAGACTAACAACAGAGGTGAGAAGGCGAGGCAACTAGAAAGCAAATACCAGTAGCGTTGATGATGAATTTTGGGAGTTTTCATTTGAAGAGTTATAGTTCATTGGTAGGAAAATAAAAATGCAAGTGAATGTAATCTTCTGTAGATGACATTTTTCTTTGTGAAAATGATTAGGAAAATCAGTTCTAATTTCTTGATTATTTCTTTTACTCTATCTTAGGATTTTGGTGATGCTTAAATTGTTTTTAAATATCTAAACTGGAGGGTCTTAATCTTTGGCCTCTTGAAAGGCTCTATAAATGTCTGTATGCAAAATTTGTGTTTGTTTTCATTTTGATGTGGGGATCTTTATGAGTTTTAGCCTACTTTCAGAGTAATCATAGTTCCATTAAAAGGATTAAAGAATCAGGTCTAGATATTTGTTGCAGCTTCCTTAGAGAATTAATTTCAGAAATAAATAAGAGTTCAGTATATCTCAAAGCTAACATTTCCTGAAACTAAGAAGAAAAAAATTTCCTAACATTTTGACAGGTTAAATAGCTATTTTATTAAATAGTTTGATATTGATTAAAGTAACTTTTCTGAAAACAAGGGAATTTCATTTGGATTGGAAAAAGATTGTTAAACAATGAGTTTCCAAATAAATGATATTCAAATTTTAGTGATTTCATGACTTTTAATAATAGAGTAATACTTTCTTTTGTTAAAGATATTGGTATAGTTTTAGTTTTCAGATTTGCTTATGGTCAATACATAAGTGATGTATATATTATTTTTTTCTGGGTAAGGTCTTTAAGTTTTGTAATTTTCACTTGAGGGTTATGCATAATGTCTAAACTTTAGAATCCAAGGAGTTGGCATTTCTAAATTTAAGATAACCATTTTCAGTTGGTAGCATCATTTCTTAATTGTTTAAAGGAGATAAGTTTGATAACTGTATGTTGAAAAGTTTTCATGATAGATACACTTTGTAGTGCTTCTACAACAATGCTGAATTTATAGAGTTGTGCAGTAGTTGGTGGTCTCTTAAAATATTTTGTATAAAAAATATAGTGCCTTCTTTTTTTAATTTATATAGTTGAAACTTCCCATTCTTGAGTAGGATAGTCTAGCACACTTGGTATAGAAATGAATCAGCTACCAAGTTAGATTCATGTGTACTTACAGATAATTTGATAAGTATTTTTACATATTGAGAAGTGACTTGTATTAGTTTTCCCTTTCACCACTTCTTCTCATTTCGACCCTAAACACTTAATGAATCACTCCTAAATTGATCAAAATATGCTGATGTTTAATATAAAATTATATTGCATGGCTTTCTGACTTGGGTTTTTGTTGTGAAAGTGCCTGTTTTGTTCATGTGTCCTGAGAGAACAAGCATTGTGACATACCTGGCTAAACTTAAAAGCAGATTGCCTGTGAAGCACAATTTGAGTCCAATTTTTTGAGGTATGGAGTTTTAGCTATCATGGCTGGGTTTTTTACTCAATCTCAAATAATAGGGCTCTGGTTATTTTGCAGAGTATCTCTGAAGAATGGACAGAATTGCCCTGGCTAACTACAAGCTACGGTTCACAGTGGATAAATGTTGGCGTGCTTTTTTACTTTCTGACTTTTTAAAATTTTACCTTTATATCTTGTAGTTTCCAATCAATCTTACATGGTTGTTATTTTAAAATTCAGTATAAAATCTTTTCTTATAAATTTTAAAGTGTGTGTCTATTTTTCGTCAGTGATTTAGCATTTCTGAGAATGTCAAGTTCTCAAACTTTATCCATAGCTCAAAAGGGGGGTATGAATTGATTTAAGGAAATAAAATAATTTAATTAATTTAGGAACTATAGAACTTTTTTATTCTTTTAGTTTCCAGTTTTCTGTTTTAATTGTTTAATGATTAGGTAGTATATGGTGTAAGACAGCAAATTAAAAATTGCATGGTTAAAGAAAGCCATTCATCTAATTTAAACCCTATAAGTGGTTAATTCATGTGAATAGCTGCTTTCACCATGTTTAATATTTGAAAGTTTGAAAAACTTTTTGAAGTGGGAGGCAGTTTGTACATATACATCTATATTTAGGAAGTTATTGATTTGCATGTTTATAAAATTAGCACATTTGCTAATACATGATAAATTTTAAAAGACTGAAAGGTGAATTTGCATTAAAGGTTCATTTTAATGAAGATGAAACATGAAAATGAGTTGTATATAAAATTCTCACTTGATGTTCAGAGAAGAGTTTGCAAACCTAAACTTCTGATTGTTTCTGATTTCAGAGATGCCCGAGTGGTAAAAGACATGGCAACAGGAAAGTCTAAGGGATATGGCTTTGTGTCCTTTTTCAACAAATGGGTGAGCTCAATAAAAAGTGCATATGCAGTGCTTTAAGAGTAAAGAATAAAAATACTTGTTTTAATTATTACTTTTCTTCTATTTGCCACTTGTTCATTTCTTTGGTAATTAACACCCTCACTGGAGAATACCTTCTTTCTCCTATTTGGATATTTATTCAACATTTATGTAGCACGTAATGCAGGAAGAGTACTGATAAAATTTTTTCAAAATAAAGACATTAGAGATGTTTAAATTATCAACCAAAGCTAGATAATGAAAATCACAGTTATGTGTTTAACTATCTATTTTATATTCTAACAGTAATTTAAAAGCAGCTAATAAAATTTCCAGTAGGCAGGGACTTTTTTTTTTTTTTAAGATTTGTTTTATTTATTTATTTATTTATGCATGCATGCATGCAAGCAAGCACTGGGTTCATTCAGAAGCACGGGAGGGTGAGAGAATTCACCAGAGCCAGAGCAGGGAGCAGAGCAGGCAGAAGGACCGAAGTACACTGCTGAGGGGAGCAGCGGGCGGCAGGAGAGGTCTGCGCGCCATGTGGGACCCTCCTCCGGTGGCTGGGGAGCAGCCGGGGATCGAACTGGTACTGCAGAGGCTGCGGGCAGCTTCGCAACCCAGCGCTCAACCACTGTGCCACCGGGGCGGCCCTAGGCAGGGACTTTTAAAATAATTAATGTATTTGAAAATGTTTCATCATTTCCTTCAATCAACAAATATTTATTGAACACCAGCTTATAAGAACTTGAAACTACTGGAGTTTGCAGCGAAAAGGGAAAGAGTACAGTTTGTCAAATGACAGGTGAGAAAAGGGTATATAAAGGAAAAGACTCATAATTTTTTTTCAAAGATTTATTTATTTATGCATACAAGAACTGGGGTACAGGCCAGAGGTGTGGGGGGGTAAGAGGATTCACCAGAGACAGTAGGGAACAGAACAGGTAGATTGAATGAAATACACTGCTGAGGGGAGCCGTGGGCGAGTCAGGAGAGGTCTGCTGCGCCATGTGGGTCTTCTCCCTGGCCAGGGATCAAACTTGTTCTTGCAGTGACTGCGGATGGCTTCATAGGTTGCGTCTTAACCCCTTGTGCTACCAGGGAGGCCCAAGACTCATAATTTAGTGTGACAGTTAGATAAAATATTTGGCATGTCCTTTGTATAATGTAATACTGTGCCATTGTTTTTAAAAAAGGAATAAGAAAACTCTGTGAGTACTGACTATAGGAAGATTTCCATGGTGTTTTATTGTTAGGTGAAGCCCCTCACTTGAGTAAAAAGGAAGGAAACGTATTTGCGCTGTGTGTCTGTGTCTGTGTCTTCTTTCCCCCTATAGGGATAAATGAGAAATTGGTTGCAGTGGTTCCTGTTTAGGGGTAGGTAAAGAGAGTTAGGCAGCTGAAGGAAAGATGGAAGCTTCTCTTCTATATTGTATTGTTTGATGTGTGAACCTTGTAAAAATACTTCAAATTCAAATAAATAATTTTAACTCTTTTAATGTGATAGCACAAGGTTCAGGATAATTAAATGTCAGGGAGGGTATTGCACGTCCAAAAATACAGAAGTAAATGATGGAAGAATTTTTTTTTAAGATTTATTTATGCACGCAAGAGCTGGGGTATAGGCCTGAGGTGTGAGAGGGGAGAGGCCGTGGTGGTCAGAGAACAGAGTGGGAAGCAGAGCAGGTGGATTGACTGAAATACACTGCTCAGGGGAGCAGTGGACCGACAGAAGAGGTCTGCTGCACCATGTGGGTTATTGGCTCCCTGGCCAAGGATTGAACGTGTGCTGCAAATAGCTTCCTAGTGCTGAGACTTAACCCCTTGTGCTACCAGGGAGGCCCCTAGTGGAAGAATTTATATTGGCACTAATCTTGAAGTATACAACAATGTTTCATTAACCTTTGGGTTTTCTTGTATTGCCTCCATGTTATGACTGTTGCTTACCAATGTAAGTACAGAGACACTGTACTTTCTATGCAAGAGTGTCTAAGAATGACCCATTCAGGTTTTTCATAGGGGCCTCCCTGATGGCATAGGGGTCAAGTCTCAGTGCTATCATGCTATCACCTTTGCAGCCTGAGTTTGATCCCTGCCAGGGAGCTGACCCATATATAATGTAGCAGAACTCTCCTTTCTCCTACTGCTTCCCTTAGCAATATATTTCAGTAAATAGGGTATTCTGCTCCCCACTTTGTCTCTGGTGAATCCTCTGGCCTATATATCCCAGTTCTATGCAAAAATAAATAAAATCTAAAAAAATTAATTGGGGCCTCCCTGGTGGCGCAAGGGGTTAAACCTCAGCACTATGAAGCTATCTGCAACTACTGTAGCACAAGTTCGATCCCTGGCCAGGGAGGTGACCCACATGGCACAGCAGACCTCTCCTGGCTAGCCCGCTGCTCCCCTCAACAGTGTATTTCAGTCATTCCGCCTGTTCTGCTCTCCGGTCTGTCTCTGGTGAATCCTCTAACCCCTCCTGCACCCTCCCCACCCCATACTCCAGTTCTTGTGTTCATAAATAAATCTTTTTGAAAAAATAAACTATAGGGCCTCCCTGGTGGTGATGCGAGGGGTTAAGCACTGTACTGTGAAGCAGTTCGCAGCCTCTACAGCACAAGTTCAATCCCTGGCTGGCCAGGGAGCAACCCACATGGTGAAGCAGACCTCTCCTGTCTCGCCCGCTGCTCCCCTCAGCAATGTATTTCAGTCAGTCTGCCTGTTTTATTCCATACTCTGTCTCTGGTGAATCCTCTCACCCCCTGCATCTCTGGCCTGTACCCCAATTCTTGTATGCATAAATAAATCTTTTTTTAAAAAAGGTGAAACTTGCTAGTTATCTTTTAAAAAAAAAATAAACTATAGAAGAATCCTTCTCTCTCTCTCCTTCTTAGTTTCTGGTAGTTGCCAATAATCTTTGTTATCCTTGGCTGGTAGCTGCTTCACTCCAGACTCTTCATCTTCACATGGCCCTCTTCCTTCTGTGTGTATCCACACTGGCTTCTGTTCTTCTTATAAGGACATCAGTGATAATGGAATTAGGGCCATCTTAATCCAGTATAACCTCATCTTTACTAATACATCTGCAATGAGCCTATTACCAAATCCTAATATTTTTGTGAGCTTAAGGGGTAGTTAGGACTTCATATCAATTTGAGGGGACACTTCAGTAGTAGTTTGATATCTTATGAAGGACAATATTTGTTTCCTTTTAAGAATATGCATTTTCTTTTTATGTGTCTCAGGAATTAGGTTTAAATCTGCCTGATCTTTTGTGCTCATGGTTGACATACAAAAACCAAAGCAGCATCCCATTTACTTCTCAGTGTACTCTAAACTGGCTTTTGTTTTTGCTTTTCACCCTTTTCAAGTTCATCTCTTGACCTATGCTTCCTTGGCTCTGTATACTTTTGTGGGCTTCTGGCGCGGGCTATGCTGTCTGACAAGGTCCGGGCATGGGGGAAATTTCTGAAAAGTCAGAAAGCTCCATAGCTGGCTCCTGCTATTTTCTTTTATTTGTTTGTAGCTGTTACTGAAACCATGGAAATTTTCTATAAGCTTCAAAATAACACAATGAATGTTGGCATTAGTGCCAGTAATGCACACTTCAGTAGTTTGAGAAAAGCACTTTCTAACATGAAATGGCTCCCAACAACTCTCCACGCCCCTCAATTTATAATTCTGATACTATGAGTAACACTGAGTTCTCTAGCAAGCCATGCTTGATAGAGCTCTTGGAATCGAGCCCGGCAAAAGTCCCCCCACAAGGGAAAGCCCCTGAGATGCCCCGGGAGACAAAGGGATCCGACAAAAACACACCACATGTTGTTCCCATGACACAGGGACCCCTGATTCTATATAGGAAATAGAAAGCTGCCTGTGATTTTACAATGCCCACTTAGCCTTGTTTTAGTTATCTAGCTTGACTGCTTGAATCACGCTGTGTGTAGCACCTGTTTCTATTTTCTGAATAACATACATCACCTAGGAAATTATGTAACCAAGTTAATGTAACCAATCAACCAAGTTAATCATATACTGGGAAAATTAAGAAAGGTCTGGGCACTGATTGATAATCAAAAATAAGTTCTGAAACAATGTAAAAGTGAAATCACATGATTGCATGATGTAATGATCACATAAAGAATTTGATGTATAAATAAAGGCCTGCTGAGACAAGAGTCTGTATAAGAGAGACTTGCACCAATATAAGAGGCAGTCTGTGTCTGCCTCACCCCACTTCCCCTCAGCCCCCCAAGTTTTCGCTGACGCCGTCCTCTCCTTTTGGGGACCCCTGACACGACATTCTGCTGGAGCAGGCCTCCAGCAGGCTTCATTTTTCATCACTGACTAATACTCCATCTTGTTCTCCTTTACTAGCAGTTTTTCCTTTATGCAGTTTTCAGATTTTGCTGTTTTTCAGGGCTCTGTCCCAGGATTCTTTACTCTTTAGTGTTCATGACTTGAATGTTATATTTCCAGTTCTTTTTACTACTTTGTCTTCATTTAGATGTCTTACAAACTTCTCATACTTAATGTGTGATAAATGGAAGTTTGTTTAGTCCTCAAACTTGTTCCTTTCCTTCTCTGGATTCTTATTTCATTAAATGCTAGTATCGTCCTCCCTACTACTCAAGAAAGACCTAAATGTTATCTTTGATTCCTCTTCTTTTACTTACAGTGCACCACCTGCCCCCCACTTCTTTCCACTGTTTTTTTAAATTATACCCATTGCCACTCCACCAGTCCTGGCCACCTTTTTTTTTTTTTTAAACTGGATATTGCTTTAGACTCATAAAGTGTCTTTTTACCTTTGTTATTCACCTGACTTGTAGTACTAACAATGGCCTTCTTAAAATATAAATCAGATCATGACAATCTCTTAAAATCTTACTTCCCTCTGGCATCCTACCCTCTTTGCTCATTAGATTCCATTGAAAATGGTGATCTTTCACGTGCTTCTTTCACATGCATAATAAACTCTTTCCTGCCTTAATATGCTTTGCAGTGCTTAATATACTCTACCAGGGCTTGCTTGGCCAGCTCCTATTCCTCTTAATTTCAGCTTGCATATCACTTCAGAGAAGCCTTCCCTAATTATGTGGTTTAAAGTAGACATCCTTGCCCACATTCTTTATCTCAGCCTTTTGCTTCTGTCATGGCATTTACCATAATTTGTAATTACCTGGTTTGTCCCCCTAAAGATTGTAAGCTGCATGGCAGCAGAGGCCATATCTGCTTCATTCATCATTGTATTCCTAGCCTTTAACCTATTGCCAAGAACATGATAGCTGTTTAGTATTTACTTGGATGAATGAGAAACCAATTAACAGTAACAAACTTGTTAGATTATGAAATGAGATTTTCATCTATAATAGTCTGAGTTCTTGCATAAACTTTATAGTAGCATCCTCATAAAGACTTTTAGACGTTATCCCCTTTTCAGGTTAATGGATTAACATTCTGAAAATCTGATATTGAAATATAAAGAGTTTGAAAGCACCATTTTATTTTAGGAAAACTTATATACCATGTATTTCATAAAGCATTTTCATTCAGAAAACATTTATGAAAGACAAACATGACTTTTATCTAACAGTTATTTAATATCAACTAATGGTGACTTTGTTGTTTCTAATGTTGTGCGGAACAGGATGCTGAAAACGCCATTCAACAGATGGGTGGCCAGTGGCTTGGTGGAAGACAAATCAGAACTAACTGGGCAACCCGAAAGCCTCCAGCTCCAAAGAGTACATATGAGTGTAGGTGTATTGGAGAAGAAAAGGAAATGTGGAATTTTGGAGAAAAATACACTAGATTTTAAATGTTAGAGCTGTTTCCGGAGACTTATTGCAGAAATAGATGAGAAGCAAATCAAGACTACTGTTCAAAAATGTACTTAGTTTTCATTTTTGTAATTCTAAATAATAAATGGTATTATCAATGTCAAGTCTCCTATTCAGTAGAGAACAATGAATAATTAGATATTCTTGGGGGAGGTTTAATTCTCAAATGCAATATATTTTATATAAGCATTTTGGTTAAGGTAAATATTATTATAATAGGGTAGTTAATGCTGCCTTTTTCTTTCTGAACATTTTATTTAATGAATTAAAATTATAAAACTCTACCTCCCCAGCAAACACCAAACAGCTATCTTACGATGAAGTTGTAAATCAGTCTAGTCCAAGCAACTGCACTGTGTACTGTGGAGGTGTCACTTCTGGTCTAACAGGTATGGGACCTTTACTTTTGTGGAATCTTAAGATTAGTTTTTAAGCTGAAAAGCATACGTGTAGGATTTTAGTGTTACAGTGTATTTTTATTTCTCATTTAACAGAACAACTAATGCGTCAGACTTTTTCACCATTTGGACAAATAATGGAAATTCGAGTCTTCCCAGATAAAGGATATTCATTTGTTCGGTAGGGGTGGTTTTTGTTGTTGTTTTTGGCAGGGGAGAGGAGGGCTAAGAAACTTCCACATAAAGTCTTTTTTTTTTTTTTTTTGAAGATTTATTATTTATTTATGCATACAAGAAGTGGGGTACAGGCCAGTGGTGCGAGGGGTGAGAGGAATCACCAGAAACAGAATTGGGAACAGAACAGGCAGACTGACTGAAATACACTGCTGAGGGGAGCAGTGAGCAAGTCAAGAGGTCTGCTTCACCACGTGGATAGCTCCCTAGCTGGGGATCGAACTTGTGTTGCAGTGGCTGCAAATTGCTTCATAGGTTGTGTCTTAACCCCTTGCGCCACCCCTTGCATCTTAACCCCATTAAGGGAGGCCCTTAAAGTCATTTTTGAACATGTAACTTAGTTGTTTTCTTAAAACTTCCCCTTGGTTATAAAGAAATAGAAATTTCTCTGACATTGAATATATTTACCATTTTTTTTTAATAGAATCCCTTCTAACACAAACCAGTAAAAATTCCTCTCTTGGGCCTCCCAGTGGTCTTAGCACTATGAAGCTATCCCTCAGCCACTGCAGTATGAGTTCGATACCCAGCCAGGGAGCTAACCCACATGGCACAGCAGACTTCTCCTGTCTCATCTGCTGCTCCCCTCAGCAATGTATTTCAGTCAATATGCCTCTTCTGCTCCCTATTCTGTGTCTGGTGAATCCTCTCACACCCCCTGCACGTCTGGCCTACATCCCGGCTCTTGTATGCATAAATAAATGTATCTTCAAAAAAAAAATCCTTTCTTAAAAGAAGTTTCTCCAAGGGCCACCCTGCTGGTGCAGGGGTCAAAGTCTCAGCACTATCAAGCTGCCACCAGCTACTGTGACATGAGTTCATTCCCCGGCCAGGGAGCTAATCCACGTGGCATAGCAGACCTCTTCTCACCCGTATTTCAGTAAATCCACCTGTTCTGTTCCTTACTCTGTCTCTGGTGAATCTTCTCACACACACACCCCACACACACACATACCTCTGTGGCCTACACCCCAGTTCTTGTATGCATAAATAAATCTTTAAAAAAAAGTTTCTTGGGCCTCCCTGGTGGCACAAGTGGTTAAGCACCACACTATGAAGCAGTGGTAGCCTGCAACACGAGTTCAATCCCCAGCCGGCCAGGGAGCACCCCACATGGAGAAGCAGACCTCTCCTGTCTCTCCCACTGCTCCCCTCAGCAGTGTACTTTGGTCAATCTGCCTGTTCTGTTCCCCACTCTGTCTCTGGTGAATCCACTCACCCCCCACATCTCTGGCCTGTACCCCAGCTCTTGTATACATAAATAAATAAAAAAAAAGTTTCTCCAGAACTATAAGACCTTGGAGAAAAGAAAAAGCCAAGGATATGCCATTTTATTGATTTATGTGGACTACCTATTTTACCTCAGCCTAAGCGTGATTTCTAAAAATAGATTTTATTCATAAGTATTTTAAGCAGTTTATGTTGGTGATTCTTAATATTGTTTTCAATAGGTTCAATTCTCATGAAAGTGCAGCACATGCGATTGTTTCTGTTAATGGAACTACCATTGAAGGTCATGTTGTGAAATGCTATTGGGGCAAAGAAACTCTTGATATGATAAATCCTGTGCAACAGGTGAGAAGGTTCTTGACTTTGCAAAGTAATTTCTGGGTTCATATTAAGGTTATTTTAAAATGAAATTGTTGATAATCCTTGTTAATAAGTCTCTAGCTAAAATGCTAGTATATAAGGGCTCTTCCTACATGTATTATAGTTCCAGAGTGGTGGTTCATGGAGTGCAGTGGTGACATGATGAATGTGACCGCCTCAATTGACTCATGCTCCCACAGTGGATTTTAAAATGCTCCGACAAACCTAACAGGGTATTAATTTTTTTTTTTAATACTTGGTAGATTTATTCATGCACTGTTTGGAGAACTCACAAGCATGCTTGATTCAATTGAAACAAAAATAAAACTATATTTAGAGTTTTGACATTCTATTCCAGATTTTGCTGCCTTTTTTCCAGGCAGCTTTAGTAATTCAAACTTGATTCCTTAAAGATTTCTATGAGGAAACTGTAAATGGGAGTAAGAAAATCCTAAACTAAGTTTCTGAAGTAAACTGAATGAATATAGGAATAAGTTGTCTTTATACCTTCCCTATGTAAAGGAAACAGTCGTATGGATAGTTTGCAGAACACTTAAACATTATACTGAGTTTAAATATTTCTTACTAGGGCATCATTACCTACTACTGCCTTACAAAGAATGTATGTGCCATTCAGAGAGCAGCACATAGAATTACAGCAGCATAACCTCACTTTTTTTTTTTTAGCAGTCACTTTCTAAACTTTCATTTATCCTTTCACTTTAATTATAATGGTGACTATATGTGTCATGGCTGTATTTTTGTGATATATTAGGACTATATATATGCAAAAAGTTTGAAATAATACCAAATTATCTGTTATAATTTTACTTAATAGCAGAATCAAATTGGATATCCACAAGCTTATGGCCAGTGGGGCCAGTGGTATGGAAATGCACAGCAAATTGGCCAATATATGCCTAATGGTTGGCAAGTACCTGCGTATGGAATGTATGGCCAGGCATGGAACCAGCAGGGATTTAAGTAAGTATATTTGCACTTTTCCTTTAATATTGACCTTTGAATATGGTTACAACTTGGAAAGAGATTTTAAGTAGTAGGCAGTATGGCCCTCTGTCTGAATCATAGCTTCAACCTCAAGCAATTAATTTAGAGTGGCTTTTGATTTACAGTTTTAAATAGTAACCTTTTTAAAAGTTTGCCTAGAAATGTTACCTTTAGTTTTAACCAGCGTAATAAGAATTTTGGTAATGGTTGATGATGAATCAACTAATGTAAAGTGAGAAAATAAGAACTTAATAAACTTTTTACATGACAAATGGTCACTTAATCCTGCTTGGATGCAGTTATTCTGATGCCTTATATACCGTGAATTACATAATTTTACTTAAATTTCTGGAAAACAGGCTGGAAATTAAAATACTTTTGCACTTTTTATGTAAAAATAATCTTGTGTGTTGAAAAAATGTTTACATAGGCCAATTTTTCAGTTTCTTCTTTGGGTAATGTAAATGTTAGTCCTTACTCAAAATGATTGAGTTTCTTTCAGTTAGTGACTTGGTCAGCGTGTGTATAACCCTGATGTACAACTTTCATTTCTGAGATGATAAGATGAGTGTTTCCTGAATTCAAAGAGGATAAATGTTTATAGGTTAAGGGTTTTCTTTTCTTCTTTTTCTTTTTTCTTTTGAAACATTATCTGTTTTCTTTCTTTTTATTTATGGGCCTCCCTAGTGGTCTAGGGGTTAAGTCTCAGTTCTAGCACCACTAAAGCCTTACTTCAATTCCCAGCCAGGGAGCTAACCCATGTATGGCACAGCAGACCTCTCCTGTCTTGCCTACTGCTCCCCTTAGCAGAGTATTTCAGTAAATCCGCCTGTTCTGCTCCTCACTCTATCTCTGGTGAATCCTCTTATGCCCCACATGTCTGGCCTGCACCCCAGTTCTTCTGTGCCGGGGGGATAACAAGATTCACTAGAGACAAAGTGGGGAGCAGAACAGGCGGTTTACTGAAATACTCTGCTAAGGGAAACAGCAGGCAAAACAAGCAAGGTCTGGTCTGCTGCACCTAACAGTATTTTCTTAGCTGTAATTAAACTAATAGAATTAAACTGCACAAATTCAACTTATAAATATGTGTGCTTTTAAGAGGAAAACCTTTGCCTTTGTGTACTGTGGCATAATATTTATTCTTAAATTTGGGCTTAAGAAAAAAGTGTGTTTCCCATGTATGTGTTGTTCTTGGCATTACATTTTCTTTTAATCACTAGGTTTTTCCCTCCTTTCTACTTCTTTCATATTCTCTTCCAGTCAGACACAGTCTTCTGCACCATGGATGGGACCAAATTATGGAGTACAGCCACCTCCGGGACAGAATGGCAGTATGTTGCCTAATCAGCCTGCAGGATATCGAGTGGCAGGGTATGAAACCCAGTGAAAAAGGACTCCAGAATCTAAAGCCAGTGGCTTGAGGCTACAGGGAGTGTAGTAAAGCAGTTGTTTACTTAAAGATTTATCAAATCAGTCAGTGCAAATGTCAGATACAATGTATTTATTTAAAAAGATTCATTTTTTAATCATGAAATTACTTATCATCCACATTGTTTTAAAAAGAAACAAGATGCTGGATGTCTGCCAATTTTTGCCTTCATTACCTTTTTTGATAAAGTTTCTCAGATCCTTGTTTCAAATATAAATGCAGGGATTGCTGCCACTTTTTTAAAATTAAGAGGCAGAAAATTGCACAATGTTGAACTTTTTTCCACTAAAGTAGTGTGCAGTTCTAGTTTGCATTCCTGATATGATTTAAAACATGTAATATAAAGATGTAAAAAAGAAAATGGAAAGAAAAACCAAAACTGTGCAGTTTTGAAGTTCTTCGTAATCTTCAGCTTGTGCACAATTTTGTTTTAGGTTTTTTGAAAAAGGCATTGTTTGAACTGTCCCATCTCCACTGTTTACCCTTTGGGATTTTTAAATATAAATTATTAGTTTACGTCATTTTTGTATCTACATTTTTTTCCACAAATTTGTCTTGCCTTATTAAAGTTCTGTAAAGTATACTTAAATGGAAAAAAAATGATGTTCACTTAGATTGAAAACTTTTCTCAGATGGATTGATATTTCATTCCTCTTGTGTTTTCTATGAGAAGGTGCCTCAAGAATTCCCTGTTAGATTTGTTTTAAGGGATTTTTATCTTCTGTGATAAACTTTGCAGTATACCAGGAAATATAAAAACAAAAAACTTGTTACTAAAGAAAATCTCTAAAATGTGATTAAGTTCTTATGAACCCATGTTAATGTCATGTGTCAACTTCTACATTTACATGTATTATTTCATTATGTAAAATGTTTTTGCAGTTTAATATTTTGCACAGTTAGCAAACTTTCTATGTCATTTCCTTCATAAAGGCATCATGCAGAGTTGACAGGAGATTTATAAGGTTTTAAGTTGTTTGCATGTGAATATCAAATACATACTTTGGTAGTCTTTGAATACAAAGTCATCTGCTCTTTGTTTTTCAAGAATTTTGAGACAAAGCTGTATGTAAGGAATATATTAATTTACCATTTTCTAGTCATATTTACTCAAAAAGAGTAAATCAACTTAATATGTACAAATGATAGCTGTGAAACTGTAGAATATCCTTATGTCAGGCCTTGGGGTTGCTGTGAACTCCAAAGTTAGCCTGAAGGACCAGCCGGGCAAAGCATTTTTTTAATGTTCAGAGGCCAAAAGATAAACAAAAAAAACCTTAAAATCCTACCTCTTTAAACAGCCTTCAAAGAGGAGAATCCTCAGTGCAATCATTATTTTGATTCTTCTGGTACCTGTTTCCTTGGAGTCCCCCAATTTTGTTATTTTGGGGTGACTCCGAACATTAAGAGGTTTAATCTTTGAGGGCATTGTTCTAGTTTTAAAATTTGTAGTACATTTCAGAGTCTCTTAGAAGAGAAAGATTGTGGGAGATTTTGTTTTATTTTCAGTATAGGTCACAAACGACTTCTTGACTCACAAAGGGGAAGGATCCCCATTATACATATTTGGATGGCTGGTTGTTTTTAAGAGCCTCAGAGAGCGCCTAGCATTTTATTTAGAAACTGAAAAGGCCTTTGAAATCTTAGAGCTTCTTGGCCTGTATCTTCCAGGTAGGAGCAAATGACTCTGAACTGGTCTCTAAGCCAATACTCTTGTAAACCAGAGCCCAGGAAGACAGCCCCTAAATGTATAATTCTCTGGAGCTCAATTCTATGCAGTTGTACTGATGTTTCATTAAGTCACTGTGTATTTTTAAATGTCGATACATTAAAAGTTGCTTTATGGAAGATAAGTAAATTTTTTAAAAACTTGGAAATTTCTTTTCCTTGTTAACTTTTATAAATCAGGGCATGCAACCAAAAGCAGCTAAAATGAAATACTCAAAAAATAAAATAAAAAGCCAGGAAAGTTATTTGTAGATTCTTCTGGTTTACGTTTTTACATTTAGGACCCTCATTTTTCACTTGCTACAAAATATTTTATTTCCTATACATCTGTGGACTGCAGGGTAAATTATTTGGACAAAAATAATTAAAGCAAAAGTATAGTTTTTCTTTCATTTTGACTATCTCAAGTAAAACTTTTTATTAGCCAGTGTATTTTCTCATTGCACAAATCTTAAAATGTACATTGACTGCTTTTTGAGAAGTGGTATTGTGCATGATGATAAAACTACTACTGAACAAATTCACATTTCAGGAACATTGCTAATTTTGGTTTAAATCTTACTCTTAGTGTTAAAAGAAATCTAAAGATTTTTCAATCTAAAAGTAATTTTGGTCTTAATATCAGGTAAGGAAATTAAGTTTTAAAGAATGGTTTCTCTGCAATATGCATTCAGATTTTATTTTAAAATACATCTGGTACTGTAAAGATCTTGAAGTGATTCACACTTAATGGGTCATTAATCCAGTATTCTTTGCCCTGACTATTTGGATATTAAAGTTCCTTTATGTTTTCTATAAACCTGTGGGATCTTTTTGCAGTGATTATTGTGTGTGAGATTTTTTTTTTCTTTTTCTTCTAGCCATTTTGCTGTATGATTCACATAGGTACTTGTTAGATTTTTTTAATCTTATTCCAGAAATTATAGTTACATTGGGTTACTGCTTAATAACACAAAAAATTGACATTCTGCAGATTTAAGTCACTAGGAAACCAGGCTTTTGTTTTCCTTGTTGGTGTTATCTGTTGAAGATTACAGTCACATTCTTTTTTTTCCTTCTGTTTTCTTTCTGTGCTTGCTCATTCTTCCTTTTGGATTTGTGTTAGAGTCCCATTACAGCTTAGGGCAGTTTATAAAGACAAGATTGCATACACAAAAAGAGTTAGGTTTAATAAATGCTGTAAGGTGCTCCTGAGGTTACAGTGGAGTTGAAAAAATAAAATGTGTTTATAGAAAATAAAAAGCAAACTCTTTCAATGAAAGAGTGATGATTTCTAAAAATAGTATGTGGTTTTTTTTTTTTGCCCACAAAGGATTATTTTCTTCTTTTCACTCACTGCATTTTTTACTATTGTATTTAGAACTTAAAAATTGTAACTTCAGAACAACTTTTTTTTTTTGAGTCTTAATAAAATTTGTGAATGTGTCTTAATTGAATAGGATTGTATTCTGTGACCTCTAATGTTGGAGGCTGGATTTATTCTGATAGCAATTCAACATAAAAAGTTAAAAAACAAACTTCTGACTCCATTACTAGACTAGGATGAGATGCTATACAGAAAATAGGGATTAGCACAAATTTACATAATGGATAAATGAGATCTTTAGCTCCTTAGCCTTGTTCTACTCGAACCCCAACATCTCCACTTATACACACGAGACAGTGTTTGGAGGATCCTTCTGTGGAAAAACTAAAATAATTCTCAAGAGAAAAGATACATGTTGACATTTGTGAGTCCCCATTACAAAACCAACCGAGCACTAAAACCCTCATGAGGAGTTTGCCATTCAATAAATTCTGCCTATGTACAAAAATCTTCCAAACAGGTTTTTTTAGTACTTCATTTTTAAGTAAGGGCAGCTGAAGATTACCAGAAATTGAGGAAATTTTTGGTTGTGAAGTGTAGATCTAAACGAAAGCAACTTTCAAGAAGCAGAAAACTTAACAAAAACTGTTATATCCTAAGATAAAGGAATAGTGTCTTCAAAAAATTATAACAAAATACTAATAAAATGTCAAAACATGAAATTAAAATACAAGTAAATTCAGTGAGAATTTGAAAGACAAGGAAATGTACCCAAACCAAAAGTGGAATGGAAAATATATAACTATGACTCATTTAATGAGCTTTCTTTTATAACCAATGGTAGTTCCAGGAAAAAAACATTGAAAAAATTGGGGAGTGGGTGGAATTTATTTGAAAATATTCCTGAGGAAATAAGTCTCGAGTGAAAGAGTGTTTTTGAATTAGCACAATAAAAATAAAAGATACCAAAAAAGGCAATACCACCATGAAATTTTAGGACATCAGACAAGGATATTCTGAAATATACCAAAAGGATTGAGGATAGTACTCAGCAGCATCATTGGAAGTGGAATTAATGGCGTATTGTCTTCAGACTTTTGAATTGTATATCCAACTGTGTATGGTCATGAGTGTCAGTAGAATAAAGGTATATTTAGACATGCAAGTTATCAAAAGATTTTCTTCCCTTTCACCCGTTCTCAGCTACTGGATACTCGCAATCAAAATAGAGAAAATCGAGAGAAAAATAGAGCATAGTGTATAGATACAGGAACCAACACAGGAGTGACATAAAAGCTTAACCGCTGTGAAACAACTTGGCATCCAATCCAGAATGGTGGTCAGGACTATTGTAGATAATTGTATATCTGGACATTTTACAGAACTGGGAGTGTGAGAAGATCTAAATGTTGGGAAAAAATCAGGCAAATGCAGAAGGGCAATGCAAAAGAAAAACATTAAGGAAATACTTCCCTTCTGAACTAACTGTATGCACTAAGAAAAGTTCCTGAATAAATAGCCTTAAGTTCATATATTCATAACTATTTTTACTGCTTTGGTTTTTCTCTGGCAGCTCCAATTCTATTTTAGATCTCTGTCATCTGTTTCTATCATTTAGACTTTTTTTTTGTTTGTCATTTCTAATCTCTGTTCCTTAATGTGCTTCCTGTGGTATCCAGTCTCACATTCCTTTCAGTGTTCATTTAGGAAATGCATTTGTTCTTCTTTCTGTATCCTAAGTTCTGTTTCTACTTCACTTAAGGTACATCTCATCCCTGGCTCTCTCGTTTTTCATAGCTGCATTTGCTGCATTCAATTTTTTTTTCAATTTCACATTGGAATGTTGGTATATTTTCAGCTGCTTTGTAGGAACGTTCTTCTTTGTCTTTTCCAGGGGGAAGCTAAGTGCATTTTGCTAGTCCCTCATATTTTTAATTAGAGTATCTTTGCACAGCTTCTGTGTTTATTCCTTTCTATTTATTCATATTTGAAACAATTGGATTTTCCTAGACCAAGTTCCAGTAGGAGGACGAAGCAGAAGGAACCCTGTCCAGCTTGCTCATCTCCTATCAGCTGCAATAAATTGTCTCTTTAAATCCTTTCTCTTGGGCTGAATCCTTTCTCTTGGGATGTCACCCGTTTAGAAGGGGTTTTGTGCCAGCTCCAAGTGCTCTCGATTACTTGCTCCTTTAAGGGAACTAGACCCTGCTTTTCTAGATGATCCCCTAACTTTCTGAAAGATGGTTGCTTCTGGATGCCCTATCACTTCATGCATCTTCCTTCATTGCCTCCCCCATTCCCCACCAGCACTCACTTTTTCAAGTCCTTACTGCGGGCTGCACTCAGAGTTGAGCTCTGTTCACAAAGTGATTAGTTGTTGATGATTCCTGAGATCTTCCTCACCAGTCTCCTCGCTCTATAATTCCACACTACAGTTTATTGGCCTCCCAAAAGTTTCTATGATGTGAAATTTGTTTTTGTATATTTTCTTCTTCAATGTGAAATTTATAAATTTTTGGTCTTCCCAATTTCACTTGTGGGAGGCAGGAGGCATCATTGGTCACGTTTCCCTTTACTCTCTGGTTTCCAGAAGTGAAATGATCCAGAACCAGGGTGCTAACATGTTTCTACTAGAATGAGATGCCCAAACGAATATTTTAAACATTTAATTCTGATCATGACATTCCCCTGCTTGAAAGCCTTTGTTTACTTCTCGTTACATGTGAATGTAATCTAAAATCTTTAATATGACCTGTAGTGCCTTCTAAAGCGCAATCTTATCCAACTTCACAGCAGTCCATTCCCCAGTGTCCTAAAAACCCTTCCATGCCACACTCATTTTTCTTAAATAAATAAATCATATCAGTCACTGTCCAGTCAGTAGAGGTGGAGATCAACACTGAAATTTGAAAAGGGAAATTATAATATAAACAGCTGTTAAGTAGTGAAAAGTAGTTTGCTACTAAAATTTGCAGGTGCAAAAAAAAAAATTGTAAACAGTAAACAATGAAGGAACTAAGGGTTGAAGAGATTCCACTTCTTTAAAGATTAGAGCTTGCTTATCAAAGGAATGGCAGGCTGGTGAAGAAATAAGCCACAGGGCATGGCCAGAGCTGATCCACAAAAGCTGCCTAGTTGCCAAAGAGCACAGATGGGCAGGATCTTGTCTACTGAAGTAGTCCAGGTGGGGAAACAGCTAGGGTTGCAAGATTTTGCAAATAAAAACAAGCCCCAATACTGCATGGATTATCTTCATACTAAAAATGATTTGTTTAACTGAAATTCAAATTTAACTTCAGTGTCTATTTTATCTTAATCCTACAGACCGATGTAGATTGTGCAGTCAAAGCTGCCATGGAAGCAGCTGCAGGAGGGGGAGGTCTCAAGAACCACTGAGGGAAGCACCACTGGGTCTTCCATACACTGATCCACTGGCTCCTGCCCACACTGAGTAAAAAGAAGCAAAACCTGTAAGGGAAGTGCCTTCCTGCCACTTGCACCTTACACTGTTCCACCAGTTCTACTGATAAAGCCTAACTGACAAAGGAGAAATGTTGCACAAAGCAAAGCAAAAGAAGGGTGGATTGGGGACTGAGAGACTCCCATCACAGGGCCTTGCCATCTGAACACCTTTTGTCTGCCAATCTCCACTTAAATGTCACTTCTTTTAACAGGCCTTCCTTTCTTTACCCAACAGTGTAAATAAATAGTTTTCTCAAATTCTCTTACACTTTTTCCTTTATAGCATTTGCCATAATTTTTATTTATATATTTGTATTATAGCTTTAAAACATGTGTTCCCACTAGTAGCTAGTGACCGTTTTCTTCAGTGCTGTATATATCTGATACATAGTAAATAATGGGTGCTTAATGTTTGTTGAATTAATTGGTAAATGAATTAAATTGTTATCTCCAACTATTGGTTTTGACCAAATGGCTTTATGTCATGTGCTAATAGTACTGCCAGCTAAATGAGTGGATATAAGGTAAGAGAGAAAACTGAAACAAAGGACCAAATGAGAGCCAATTTTTTTTTCCAATTCTTTATGCTATACTAAATAATTTGAAGGTTTTTTTAATCTGAAAGGCCCTACAAAACCATTGATTTAACTTGTATTTAGTTCTTTTAGGTGTTTGGCTTGAATAATCACGTGGATGGTGGGATTAGTTACTGGGGAAAAGGAGAAATTTTTGAGGGTATGGACAAAAGCTACTTGGAGGGCAAGAGATGAGAGATGAAGAGTTTCACCATTGAAAATATACGAGTACTTGGAGATGGGTGACATTCAAGTAGAAATATCCAGTAGGTAGTAATACAAAATTGAGGAGGGAGATTCAGACTGAATATAGAGATGGGAGTCACCCACATAAAGTGGCAAGCACCCAGGGAAACACTAGAGTGAACAGACAAAGGGCGAACATCATAGGTCCATTGGTGTTAAAGAGGGCAGAGAAGCTTGCAAAGGAGAATTGAGTTGCCTGACAGATGAGAAATACTGAGTGTCCTAACATCTTGAATCAAGGAGGAGAAAAAAAATCAAGTAAATAGAAATAGCCAAGAGGATTAAATATTGCAGAGAGGAAAAGTACAAGAAATGGTTTTTTTAAAAAAAGGCCACTGGATTTAGCAGTAATTGATAAATTTAAAATGAGCATTTTTTTAGTGAAATAGTGGGAACAGACAGTAGTGGTTTAAAGAATGGGAGGTGAGGATAGTTAGCTAATCCAGGTTCATTTGTCTGTGGAAGGAAGGGGGGGAGGGGCAGCGGTGAGAGGATTCACCAGAGACAGAGTGGGGAGCAGAACAGGCAGATTGACTGAAATACACTGCTGAGGGGAGCAGTGGGCGAGGCAGAAGAGGTCTGCTGCGCCATGTGGGTCAGCTCCCTGGCGGGGATCAAACTTATGTTGCAGTGGCTATCCATAGCTTGATAGCACTGAGACTTAACCCCTGTGCCAAGAAAGCAATTTTTAAAATTTCTATATGGTAAACAATAACTCACAAAAGTAAATGACTACCAAAAACAACCCCACCATTCATTTGGACACAAAATGAAAAACAAAAGCAAAAGCCATGAACTGCTTTTCATATAAAAAGTAAATTGGAGTTAAAGTGCATTTTTTTTTTTTTTGTGCATGTGTGTACTGTTTTTCTAGGATACTTAGAAATTGAGTGATGGGCTAAAAATGTGAATTGTAAAAATTGTATTTTATATATCAAATTTCACTTGTAAAAGGTTGCAACATTTTACATTCCAAATAATTTCAAAGGCACTATTTCCCCTATCTTAACCAAAGCTGATCAATAATGAACTTTCATTTTTGCCAATCTCATGCATGTAAATAATCTGTATTTCCCTGTTTGCAAGTAAAATTAATAATTTTCCGCAATAATTGGCTGTTTGTATTTTTTTTTTAATATTTATTTATTTATTTATACAAGGACTGGGTACAGTCAGAAGCGCGGGAGGGTAAGAGAATTCACCAGAGCCAGAGCGGGGAGCAGAGCAGGCAGAAGGACTGAGTACACTGCTGAGGGGAGCGGAGGGTGGCAGGAGAGGTCTGCGCGCCATGCGGGACTCTCCTCAGGTGGCCGGGGAGCAGCCGGGGATCAAACTGGCGCTGCAGAGGCCACGGGCAGCTTCGCAACCCAGCGCTCAACCGCTGCGCCACCGGGGAGGCCCTGTGTTTGTTTGTTTGTTTGTTTTTAAGATTTATTTATACAAGAACTAGGGTACAGGCCAGATGCGCGGGAGGGTGAGAAGATTCACCAGAGACAGAGCAGGGAACAGAACAGGGAGACTGATGAAATACACTGCTGAGGGGAGCAGGGGGCAAAACTGGAGAGGTCTGCTTCTCCATGTGGGACCCTCGCTCGCCAGCTGGGATGGAACCGGCGCTGCAGAGGCTGCGGACAGCTTCACAGCGCGGTGCTCTGTATTTCTTTTCTGTGATGTGATTTTATATACTTTGTACATTTCTTGATTAGACTGATGATTTAGTAGAGATCCTATTTGTAATTTGTATACTCACAAAACCTCTTGGATGAACTATCCTCAGGATTACCTCAAATTAAAATCAACTGGCAACTCAGAATCAAAAACTTACCAAAAACATGAGGAAGGGGCCTCCCCAGTGGCGCAGCGGTTGAGCGCCAGGCTGCGAAGCTGCCTGCAGCCTCTGCAGCGCCGGTTCAATCCCCGGCGATTGGGAGGGTCCCACATGGCGCGCAGACCTCTCCTGCTGCCCGCTGCTCCCCTCAGCAGTGTACTTGTCAGTCCGCCTGTTCTGCCCCCCACGCTGTCCCTGGTGAATCCTCTCACCCTCCTGCGCATCTGGCTTGTACCCCGGTTCTTGGATAAATCAATCAATCAATCAATCTTTAAAAAAAAAAAAATAAGGAAGCTTGACCTTGACCTTATCAGGGAGCTAACAAAAATAATAGTGGAATTTGGGTCAAAGACTTTAAACACAATAATCATATATTAAATATGTAATAACTATATTTCATGCCTTTAGAAATAAAAGATGCAACTAAAATATCAAGAAAGTAATGGTGATTATGCAGAATTTTAAAGAAACTAATTGAATTTCTAGAAATTAAAAATACAATGGCTAAAATTAAAAAGACTAAACAAAATTAGAGCTGAAGAAAGCTGCAAATTGGAATAAAGTACAAAGAGGAAAGGGTGTAGAAATCTAAAATACATTTAAAATGGAGTTCCACAAAGGAAAAAAAACAATTTGGGGTGGGCAGTATTGTAGACATAGTGGCTAAGGATTTTTCCAGAATTGTTGAAAGGTAGGAATTCCCTGATGCAACAGCCACAGTGAATCCCAAAAAGGATCAGTGAAATGAAGTCCATACTTACATGCATAATCATATTGCAAGTAATCAAAGACAGAGGAGATTATAAAAACAGCAGGAGAAATGAAAGACTGCTACAATAAGACAATTAGACTGAAAACAAAATATGTCTGTCAAAAGCAAAAAGATAGGTTAGCATTCAGAGGGATATCCTCAATGTACTGAGAAACAACCCATCTAAAATAATCATGTAAGAATGCAAATGAGGGGCCTCCCTGGTGGCACAAGGGGTTAAGCACAGCACTGTGAAGCTATCCACAGCCTCTGCAGCAGGAGTTCGATGCCACATGGCACAGCAGACCTCTCCTGTCTCACCCGTTGCGCCCCTCAGCAGTGTACTTCAGTCAATTGCCTGTTCTGTTCCACAGTCTGGTGAATCCTCTCACCACCACCATTCCAAGTTCTTACATGCATAAATAAATAAATCTTAAAAAAAAAAAAAAAAGGCATGCAGATGAGGGCCTCCCAGGTGGCACAGCGGTTAAAGTCTCATCACTATCAACCTATTGCCAGCCACTGTGGCCTGAGTTTAATCCCCACCAAGGGAGTTATGGCACCTGGCGCAGCAGACCTCTCCTGTTTCTCCAGCTGCACCCCTCAGCAGTGTATTTCAGTCAATCTGCCTGTTCTGTTCCCCACTCTGTCTCTGGTGGATCCTCTCACCCCCCACACCTCTGGCCTGTACCTCGGTTTTTGTATAAATAAACAAATCTTAAAATATATATATATATAAAGAAAAATGATGTAGAATATAAATAAATACCATTTTTTTAATGATAAAAGTGATTACAATGTTCTAAGGTCACTGTACTTTTCAGAAGAATGTTAGAGATATTATTTAGTTTTGGCCGTGAGTTAAAATGTAGGACTATCACTAAAGAGACAGAAACAGCGTATTACTTCCAAAAAGATAAGTGGAGCTAATGATCAAAAAGAATGATGAAAAAGAAAAGCTGCCACAAGTCAGAAAATTAAATGGTAGAAGTCATTCGAAAAAGATTAGTAAGCATTAATCTTAGTAAGCACTAATCTTAGTAAGTGGACTTAAGCTAATTAAACAGATTGGATTTCTAAAATTCTAGATGCATGTACTGCTTGCAAGTGCCTTCTAAAAAGTACACTGAAAAACAATCCAGAAAACTAAACACAGCTAAAGGACGTAGCCAAATTCATAGCAGATAAAATACACACCTCTTCTAAAGCATACATGGTATACTTAAGAAAATACTGTTTTAAAAAATCATATTGGCTACAAGGGTGAGGGAGTCAAAGGAATATTAGTTCCCGCCGACAAAAAATCGAAGTGGGAACATCCGCTCTAATATGCAAATAGCGGCCTCCGAGAGAAAGAAACTACAACTCCCATCCGACAACGCGAGCTGATGTAGGCGGGCACTCGCTGCGCGAGGGTGGTTCTAGCCAATAACGACTGTCGTTACAGCGAACAGTTGGCCCTGTTTGTAAAAGGCCGCGGCAGGCGAAGAGAGAGGAGGTGAGGGCGGTCATCAGCTTGGGGCCCGGGGACCGCGGGGCCTCGGGGGGCTGGGGCGCGGGGCAGGTAAGGGGGCCTTGTTGACAGAAGTCGGGGGCGGCGGTAGGACAGGGGTTAGAATGGGAATTCCAGTGGAGAGCGTGTCCAAGGAGCTGGGTGCCAACTCGATGATGCTTCTGTTTGGGCCTACTTCGGCCGGAAGTGAGCATCCGCGCGGGGAGGATGCTGGGAAGCAGGTCTAAGGGTGTTAGCGCGGAGGTGGGCCGGGTCCCGGAAGCCGCTGGGGAGGTCCGCGCTTACCAGCCGGATGCTCGGAGTCGGAGACACGCGTATCTGCGAGACCCTTTCGGCGGTTTCCCTGTATTCCGAGGCAGGTCTAATGGAAGTGCCCTGGATCAGGATTACGGTGTCCTGGCTTCCAGGCCTGCCCTTTTTCTCTCACTTGTTTTTTGACAAGGAATCCGATTCCGAATTCACGTTAGATCTCTGGTGGCTGTGAGACGTTTATCCAGTCACTACTCTTTCTTAGCCAGTTTCTGTATCGCTTATATAGGTAAACTAGTACCTACTTCATAGGACCACGGTGAGCAATACAGAAGTAAATGCATGGCAATGGATTAACTGAATGTACTTTGTAAACGTTAGCAATTTTACGTTTATTTATGGTAATTATCATTCTCTTCATTTATTGTGTTTCCTGAGCATTAAACAGCACCCACCACCATACCTTATCGCTTGTAGTCAAATAGTATCTGAATGAAAACCCACCCCTTCCGAGAGTTTATGGTTTAATCTTGCAGCACCAGTGCCTCAACATTCTTGTTGAGAAGTCTGTTTGGTGAACTTGCCAAGAAGGGGAATCCTATTTATAGGCAGGATTCAAATACAGATTCTTTGCAAGTTGTATTACTTGTATGTGCTTTCAGTATAGAATCTGTAGTAATACTAATACGTTTAAAATTAAAATAGTACAAAACAGTGAAATGTAAGTCCCCATCTCACTCTCTATTTCCAAGTGCCAAGTCGCTTCACTTCTGAAGTTGTCTTTTTTCTTTTTTAAACAGAGTATTATGCTTGAAGTACTAGACCCTTTTTCATTCCACAGTGTATCTTGATACATGCTCCTTATAAATATATGAAAATCTGAGATCTTTTTGGTATTTTTTTAAGACTTTAGTAACATATTGTATGGTTACACCATAGTTTATTTAGTCAACTCAGACTATTTCTGTTCTTGTCCAGTTATGTAAAACCAGTGTTAAGTATCTCCTCATATTTTGTATACATATGAGAATGTAACTCATGAAATCTTCAAGGTGAAATTGCTAAATCAAAGTGTGTATTTTAGTTTTACGATATCTATTCGAAGAGGATATTGCTGTTTCCATTCCCAGTAACAATGTAAGTGCCAATTTTTCTACATGTTCATGAACACAGTGGTAATGTTTATCTTTTTGTCACTTTGCCAAAAGTATTCTTTGTTTTTATCTGACTCTTATTCTGTGAGATGGTACTTCACACGTTTAAAATCTTTATTCTTTTTCATAAGGTATCTTTCCGTGGCCTTTCCCATTTTCCTAGTGAGTTTGTTTCTTTTTCTTACTGATTTGTAAAAACTCATCTTAGAAAATTAACCCATTAGCACTGGTGAATTCACTTCTGAATGCAAGTTACTTCACTTCTGAATTTGTCTCTTTTTTAAGCTAAGAGTATATGCTTGAAATAAACTAGACCTTTTTTCACTCCACAGTGTATCTTGATACATGTTCCTTATCAATATATGAAAATCTGAGATTTCCTTCTATTATTATAGATTACATAAAAATATATAATTTCCTTCTATTTTTAATAACAATTTTATTGAGGTATAATTCATACAACACAAACTACTCTTTTTAAAAGATTTATTTATTTGTGCATACAAGAGCTAGGGTGCAGGCCAGAGGTGAGGGGGTGAGAGGATTCACCATAGACGGAGTGGGGAACAGAACAGGTAGACTGACTGAAATACACTGCTGAGGGGAGCAGCAGGCAAGACAGGAGAGGTCTGCTGCACCATGTGGGTATCTCCCTGGCCAGGGATGGAGCTTGTGCTTGCAGTGGCTTTGGATAGCTTCATAGTGTTGCGTCATAAGCCCTTGCGCAACCAGAGAGGCCCACAAACTACTCTTTTATTTTTTTTTTTTAAAGACTTTTTTTTAATAGAGGCATGTTTTTATTTATTTATTTGTTTGTTTGTTTTGTTTATACATGCACTGGGTACAGTCAGAAGCGCGGGAGGGTGAGAGAATTCACCAGAGCCAGAGCAGGGAGCAGAGCAGGCAGAAGGACCCAAGTACACTGCTGAGGGGAGCAGCGGGCGGCAGGAGAGGTCTGCGCGCCATGTGGGACCCTCCTCTGGTGGCCTGGGAGCAGCCGGGGATTGAACCGGCGCCACAGAGGCCGCGGGCAGCTTCGCACCCAGCGCTCTACCGCTGCGCCACCTGGGAGGCCCCAAACTACTCTTTTAAATAAAGTGTTATAATTAAGAAATTTTACTCCATTCAGTTTTGTAACTTGTCATCACATACTCCCATAAAAAAATCCTCAACTCATTAGCAGGAACCCTTAAGGTCCCCTTTTTCCCCTAGCCTCTGATAATCCCTAACTACTTTCTGTCTCTGCGCATTTGTCTATTTTGAATATTTCATTTAAGTGGAATCATACAATGTGTGACTTTTGTGTCTTAGCATACTATTTCAAGTTCATTCACTCACATTGTAACATGTATCAGAACTTCACTCCCATTAGGACCAAATAACATTCCATTGTACCCATACACCACATTTTGTTTATCAATTCATTAATGGATAGATGTTTTGGTTGAATCTATTCCCTGGCTATTATGAATAATACAACTGTGAACATTTGTGTACAAATTATTGTGCATTTTCAATTCTCTTGGAGCATATATTCTCTGAGGAGTCATATGGTGACTCTCTTTAACAATTTGAGGAACTGTCAATATTCCAAAATATTTGCATTATTTTGCAATACCATCAACAATGTATAGGGTTGAATTTTCGGTGGTATCCTTTATTTTTTATTTTTTCTTTCTCGGTGGTATCCTTTAAAGCACATACATTTTTAATTTCATGAAATCAAACTTACCTATTTTTTTGCCACTTTGGAAAACACTTAAAAAGTTAAACATAAATTTACCACACAATCCAGCAATTCGACTTCTAGGTATCTGCCCAAGAGAAATGAAGACATGTCTACACAGAGAGTTGCATGTTAATGTTAGAGTAGCATATTGTTCTTTTTATACTGACAAGAACTGGGGTGCAGGCCAGAGGTGTGGGGAGTCGGGGTTGAGGGAAGGATTCACTAGACACAGAGCAGAAAGCAGAACAGGCAGATCTACTTAAATACACTGCTGAGGGGAGCAGTGGGGTATACAGGAGAGGTCTGCTGCACCATAAGTAGCTCATTGTTCTTAATAGCCAAAAATTGAAAACAGTCTAGTTAGTCCACTGATGAATGAACAAACAAAATGACATATTCATACAGTGGGATACTCCGCAATATAAAACAATGAAGTACTGATACATACCACAATGTGGTTACATCTTGAAAACATAATATTGAATCTAGTCAAAAAAGGTTACACACACACACACACATGTCCATTAATTTGGGGGGAAGTGGGTGAAAGGGTTTACAGGATCTTTATGATCTTTTAGTACCTTTTCTATAAATGTAAAATTATTTCAAAATTGAAAAGTTGTTTTTAAGAAGAAATAATGCATTTGTAGTTTTGGAAGATACTAACAATCTGCTCTCTATAGTGCATAATCAAAATAGTAAAAGAGAAATTAGAGAAGAGTAAGATTTCCACAAAGATCCTTAAACTGTGGCATCTTAGGGTTTTCCCACAATTGGCTGGCCAATTCCTGCCTTGATAGGTAGATCTTGTTATTTTTTCCTAGTTTAGTGATATGCAAGTTATTATCATCAACATAGATTTGTAACTGATTAATTTTTGCTAAGCTTTTTCGTGTGTTAGTGTGTGTGTTTTTCCATATTTGGCTTAATGAGAATATCTACCAAAGAATTTCATTGACCTGGGAAGGAAATGCTTTTTAAACAGACTAATGTTTTAGTAGTTTTTAACTGGGGTGATTTTGCTTCCCAAAGGACATTTAGCAATATCTAAATACATTTTCATTTTTTTAATAACTTGGGGAGTCAGGGTAGACTACTGCTGGCATATAGTGGGTAGAGAACAGTAGTACTATTAACTAAACAGTCTACAATGCATAGACAATTGACAACAACAATGAAATAATTATCTAGCCCTGCATGCCAGTAGTGCCAAGGTGGAAAATCCCTTCCATATATCATATTTCACAAAACTTTAGTTATTCAGCAGGTACTCAACAAATTTATAGTTGGGAGATTATTTCAAAGTACCAGTCATAATGTTAATATTCTTAAGACTGTTTTTATTTGTGTTTGCCTATTTGTTAATCAGTGGACTATAGAAGATGTGCAAGGAAAATATCAAGACCATGCCTTGGGGTCTGGGGGTAGAAATAGTAATAACAGCCTACTTCAAAATTACAAACAGATTACCTTTTTTTTTTTTTAAGAGGCATGTATTTATTTATTTGTTTGTTTGTTTGTTTATACATGCACTGGGTACAATCAGAAGCACAAGAAAAAAAAAAAGGAAGCACAGGAGGGTAAGAGAATTCACCAGAGCCAGAGCGGGGAGCAGGGCAGGCAGAAGGATGGAAGTATACTGCTGAGGGGAGCAGCGGGCGGCAGGAGAGGTCTGCGCGCCATGTGGGACCCTCCTCCGGTGGCCAGGGAGCAGCCAGGGATCGAACAGGCGCCGCAGAGGCTGCGGGCAGCTTCGCAACCCAGCGCTCAACCGCTGCGCCACTGGGGAGGCCCCAGATTACCTTTTTAAAAAAGCATTAAAAATATTGAACTTTAGTTAATATTATGCATGCTGAACTGATCCCTGTAATTTGCTTTGAAATGTATCAAAATAGAAGAGGGATTGCTGGATATAGAGAAATAAATGGATAGATATATAATAAAGCAAATATAATAAAATTGTTAATTGGGCCTCCCTGGTGGCATAAGGGCTTAAGATGCAACCTATGAGCTATCCGCAAACTCTGCAGCATGAGTTTGATCCTCAGCCAGGGAGCAACCCACATGGCACAACAGACCTCTCCTGACTTGCCCGCTGCTCCCCTCAGCAGTGTATTTCAGTCAGTCTGCCTATTCTGTTCCTCACTCTGTCTCTGGTGAATCCTTTCACCCCTCACACCTCTGGTATGTATCCCAGCTCTTGTATGCATAGGTAAATCAATCTTTAAAAAAAAAATTGTTAATTGTAGAATCTAGTGGTGGAAATAAGGAGGTGCACTGTACAATTCTTTTTTTTTTTTTAAGTTTAAAAAATTTCATAATATTGGAAGGTATCAAAAACAGAGATTCACATGCTTTTAGATACTTTGGGTTAGTGGAAACTGCAATTCTGATTTTGCTGGGTGACCTCAGGCAAGTTACTTAATTTTTTATTTTTATCCGAAGAGTAGTTGTTATTTACCTCAAATTGGATACTAATATTGTGAATTTGAAATGAAATACTGAATGTGAAATCATCTTGAAAAGTCTGAAGTGCTCTAATGATGTAATGAATTACTGTTAGGAAGGGTGAGTGTTTGACCAATTCTTTACCATGGCTTTAGGTGCTTTTGACAGCACCCTGTGTTATTACCACTATTTAACCTTCTTGCAATTGAAAGTACAAAACACTTAACCATTTCCATAACAATTTGTTAAATATTTCTCAATGTTTGTAAAAGACTTAGATTCCTATTCTGATTTCTAGGAGAAAGAAATCGTGTAACTCTGTAACTGTACTGTCTTTTCTTGTTTTACTTTTAGACTGCCAAGATCTCCACTTAAGGCAGCAGAAATTTTTGACTGTGGAACATTGGACAAGAGCATTGCCATTGGCTGGACAACATGGAGAAGCAGAATGTTTGTATTGTTACACCTTAGAATTCAAACTTCAGAAGACATTGGGTTAAGCAGTAGCATTTACGCTGCTCATGATTATGTCTTCGCCTGTCCTCTGTGATCATCACAAAGTAATGAGATACCTTTTAGGTCTTATATATTGAGGTTGCACTGTTATCCAGATGCTGTGGCAGCTGATACAGGTAGGATTAGATTGAGATTTGTGGGAAATGGTAGAATGGAAAGAACTCATCTTTCTCATGCTCTAGTCCTTGCTCAAGTTAAATATGTCTGTGCATGTAAAGATTAGATTAACTTATTTAGGTTGTCGAAGAGAAATTCTTTGGTAGGACTTTTAAAAATACAGAGAGATACAAAAGGCAAAGTTTCTTCCACTTCCATTTTGTTCGAGCATTTAAATCGATGTTCTATTTGGAGATGACTTGAAATTGCTGACTAGCTTCTTTACATTCCGCTTACTATACTAAATATAAATGATTTAACTGTGTGTGTGTGTGTGTGTGTGTGTGTGTGTGTGTGTGTGTGTGTGTGTGAATGTAACTGTATATTCAAGCTTACTTAAAGATTGACTTCCTGCTTTTTTCTAGGGCCTGTGAAAAATGGAACCAAACTCTCTGAGGACTAAAGTTCCAGCTTTCTTGTCTGATCTGGGGAAGGCCACATTGAGGGGGATCAGAAAGTGTCCCAGATGTGGCACATACAATGGAACCCGGGGACTGAGCTGTAAGAACAAGACATGTGGAACCATATTCCGCTATGGTGCACGGAAGCAGCCTAGTGTTGAAGCTGTCAAAATCATCACAGGCTCTGAACTGCAGGTCTACTCAGTGAGGCAGAGAGACCGGGGCCCCGATTACCGATGCTTTGTGGAGCTAGGTGTTTCAGAGACAACAATCCAGACGGTGGATGGGACAATCATTACTCAGCTGAGCTCCGGACGGTGTTATGTGCCCTCATGCCTGAAAGCAGCAACCCAGGGCGTTGTGGAAAACCAGTGCCAGCACATCAAGCTGGCTGTGAACTGCCAGGCAGAGGCTACCCCTCTCACCTTAAAGAGCTCAGTCCTGAATGCAATGCAGGCCTCCCCTGAGACTAAACAAACCATCTGGCAATTGGCCACAGAACCCACAGGTCCCCTGGTACAGAGGATCACTAAAAACATTTTGGTGGTGAAATGCAAGGCAAGCCAGAAGCATAGTTTGGGATATTTGCATACATCATTTGTGCAGAAAATCAGTGCCAAAAGTTTGCCTGAGCGCCGTTTCTTCTGCTCCTGTCAGACTCTGAAATCGCACAAGTCGAACGCCTCCAATGATGAGGCTGTCCAGAGATGCATTCATTTCTTTGCCTGTATCTGTGCCTTTGCCAGTGACGAGACATTGGCTCAGGAATTCTCAGACTTCCTAAATTTTGATTCCAGCGGTAGGTAGTATGGTTGACACAGTTACTCTGTTTTTCTAAAATGGCAATGAGAGTTCTACTGATGGCATTTGGAGATTGTCCTAGCAACCTTCAGAAGCAGTTGCTAGATAATTCAAATGAAAAGCATTCCTTCTTTTAATCCCAGTCAGCACACTTGCATAAAGGTTGGTTGGTTAGTTGGTTGGTTGATTGGTTGGTTGGTTGGTTCAAATTGATCAAGAGACTTAGTCATTTTCATTGAGACAATGGATATAGCAAAGTTAGCTTCAGTTCAGTTTTTCCTCTATTCAAAAGATGCCCTATATTTAGAAAAACAACAGCAACAAACAAATCAGTTTTGTTTTGCTTGCTTTTTTCTTCTCTTCAAATTAGCCCCTTGCCAAAAAGACAACCTTTTAAAGTTTCTGCATCAAGTATTTTATTGTTGTCATAAATGTGCTTTTTTCTTGTAGATGCTTTTTGTTTTCATAGTGATCTTTAATTGGCAGCAGCTTTGAAAGTTTTAGTTTTACATTTTTCTTTCTTCCTTCATTAATAGTCTATGAACCAGTGCATGTTTTGGGGAAACATTTCTTTTTGAAGATTTATTTATGTATGCATACAAGAACTGGGGTGTAATCCAGAGGTGTGGCAGGGTGAGAGGATTCACCAGAGAGAGGAAGGAGCAGAACAGGCAGATCTACTGAAATACACTGCTGAGGGGAGCAGCGAGCTAGGCAGGAGAGATCTGCTGCGCCATATGGATTGCTCTCTGGCTGGCCAGGGATTGAACTATGCTGCAGTGGCTGGCAATAGCTTGATAATGCTGTCTTTAACCCCTGTGCCATCAGGGAGGCCCGGGAAACTTATTTCAAAGCAGACACTCACTCCCTAATTTGTTCTAGGGATTTTGATGTCTACAAATAAATTTTCTCATGTAGGGGCCCATACTTACTCTTTTATAGTATTAGTAATTGAGACCTCTGTTATATTTTAGGTCTTAAAGAGATTATTGTGCCCCAGTTAGGCTGTCATTCAGAATCAACAGTATCAGCTTGTGAATCTACTGCCTCTAAGCCAAAGAAGAGGAAAAAGGATGAAGTATCTGGTAAGAAGCTGTTTGGTTTGTTGTTTGATTGGGTTATCTTTAGAAATTGTTTGTGGTTTGGTGTTTCACTGAATCTGAGCAGTTACAAAAAATAGATTTTGTTGTTATGTTATTTTTTTCCCAAAAAAATGTTTTACTTTCAGCTGATGATGTTTGTCAAGTCAAGCTAAGAATTGGTTCTGTGGGGCAAGTAGAAAGTCCAATCAAATTCAACTTTTATTTTTATATGTTATTTGTTCATCCCTTAAACATTCAGACTACTCTTTTACCTTAATCTGCTATAGTACAGTGATAATGAAGATTTCATACACAGGGTGCCTAAAAAGACCATGTGCAATGTTTAATTATCTTGTCCACACTAATTTAGGAATATAATTTGTTACTTCATTGTCAGCATGTGGCATCATCACACACGTATACTATATATATACACACATATATGCATATATACAGTTCAACACAGTGTCAGTTAAGGACTCATAAATCAATATTAAAATACTGAAGGGGCCTCCCTGGTGGCACAAGGAGTTGTGAGCACCACAATGTGAGGCAGTCCGCAGCCTCTGTAGCGCAAGTTCGATCCCTAGCCGGCCAGGGAGCAACCCTGTCTTGCTCGCTGCTCCTTCGGCAGTGTATTTTGGTCATCTCTGGCCTATACTCCAGCTCTTGTATGCATAAATAAATAAATTTAAATAAAAAATAAAATACTGAAGTAAGTACCCTAAAATATATTTCAAAAGATGTAGATTCTTTTTAAGATTTATTTATTTATACAAGAACGGGGATACAGGTCAGAGGTGCTGGAGGGTGAGAGAATTCAACAGAGAGAGCGGGGAGCAGAACAGGCAGACTGACCAAAGTACACTGCCGAGGGGAGCAGCAGGCGAGGCAGCAGAGATCTGCCACACCATATGGGTTTCTCCCTGGCCGTCTGTGAACCGAACCCGCGCTACAGAGGCTGTGGGCAGCTTCACAGTGCAGCACTCAACTCCCTGCACCACCAGGAAGGCCCAAAAGATGTAGATTCTAAACAAAATGAAAATATCACCTGGTTCACAAATGTGAACCAAACTCCTAACTGCCTACTATCCAGAGAAATGTGAACATTATGGAGATACAAAACTAAAACAAGTTATCTTTTGTGACCAAATTAGCAAAAACTTTTAAATCATAAGACCACAGGCGAAGGTGAAATCAGCTCTCGGCTTTGACTAGTGCAGTGTAAGTTATTATAACCACTCATAAAAAGTAAAAGTAGTTTGTAGTGTCTGTTAAGAACCTTAAAAGTATTTCTACCCATGGGGTATTGCTGGAGGCAGAGCAGGTGGTAGTACTTAGGAGTTTTGATACTGGGAAGCTGAAGAAAGAGAAACAGAGTGACTTGGTTGTTTCTCTGTTTTGAGAGGAAATTCTGGCAGCAATAAAGAACATAGATTGTTGTTAAATGTTTAATTAATGATCTTTCCCAGGAAAACTTAAAATTAAAAAAAAATTCTTACCCTTTGAGTCAGCAGTCCTACTTGTAAATAACCTCTTTTAAGGAAGTAATACTGGGTATGGAAAAAACATTTTGTTCAGAGATGCTCATTTTATGGTTATTTATAACACAGAAAAATTAGGAACAACTAAAGTCCAACCACTGGGGGTAGACATATGAACCATGGTAAAGCCACTTGATTGGGTATCAGGCAGTCATTAAAAATGACTGTGAAGAATTTGGGAATGCTTGGATTATTCAGGTAGCCAGATAGAGTACTGAATGCTCAGTTCAACTTGAATTTCAGATAAAGAATTAACAGTTTCTAGTTTAAGTGTGCGTTATTTGGAATGTAGTTCCTGTGCATTATTTGGAATGTAGTCATACTAAAAAATTATTCATTTATTTGAAATTCAATAAATTTTTTTTTGCTAGGTCTGGCAATCCTGGTATAATCATAGCTACTCAAAATTGTAAAAATAGCAAAATTATATACAGAAAAAAAGAAGATAGTTTATCAGAAAATTAATAATGGCTGCCTGAGAGAGGAACACAGTGTTACTGTTTATGCTTTCTTCCTTTCACATCTAGTCCTTCCCACCCCCAACTTCTGTAAAGAATGTAGAAACATAAAATGTTATGGACTTATAACATTAGACTTAATATATCACAGTAGCCTTTCTTCTAGACACTAAAGCTAACTTAGAATTTAGCAAAGATTTTTTATGTTTTAGACACCTCAGAAATTAATATCAAATCAATTTATATCTGTAGACATGTATTAAACACAGTACTGATTTGTGCTCTAGGTGCACAGATGAACAGTTCACTATTGCCTCAAGATGCAGTGAGCAGTAATCTAAGGAAAAGTGGCCTAAAAAAGCCAGTGGTTGCTTCTTCACTAAAAAGGCAGGGTAAGTCTCCCTTTCCTCAGGATAGGCTAAAAAGATGACAAATCATCCTAAAGAAGCCAAAAGTGATATGATCAAATGTTGCCTGTTGACAAACACTAGTTGCCTGTTGACAAACACTAGTACTCACTGAAGCTGAGTTATGTCCTGCCCCACTGCTCTCAAATTATATTCAGAACTAAATTATAGCTCTTAAATAACAAATGCAACAGAAAATGACATGTAGTACAACAGTTATTTTATAGGATATTTCTACTCATTGCTTATCACCCACATAACATTAGTATAAAGAATCAGACTTGAAAAATGGTTTTTGAAATTATGCAGTGATAAATATTTGTTAAGAAGACAAATCTAGTCTGTTCTCCAAAGTTAATGATGTTTGAAAACATATCTAAAAGCAATAGCATCTATAGTTCTGAATTTATAGGAAGGACAACAGAATAGCTTAAGCTATTCTGTATAGTTAAGCTATTCTGTATAGAAAGACGTGTATCTCTGCACAGAACAATTAAACTTGTGTATTTGGGGATCACTATTTTCTTAATTTTCGTATAAATATGGCTGGATGATTAAAAACTAGACATCAAATCCCTGCCCTCATACTCTGGTTTTGAAGATAAGACCAGTACGTATATAGTAAATAATACAAGATCATATATTAATTAATTCAGAACTTACACGTTTTAGTAATAAATGTTTTGGGGATTCAGGAAGCAAGCAGGTCAACAGTATCAGATTTTTTTTTTAAAGATTTATTTTTATTTATTTATTTATACAAGCATTGGGTACAGTCAGAAGCGTGAGAGGGTGAGAGAATTCACCAGAGTCAGAGCAGAAAGCAGAGCAGGCAGAATGACGAAGCATACTGCTGAGGGGAGCGGGCGGCAGGAGAGGTCTGCGCGCCATGTGGGACCCTCACCCGGCGGCCAGGGATTAAACTGGTGCTGCAGAGGCTGCGGGCAGCTTCGCAACAACCGCTGCGCCACCGGGGAGGCCCAACAGTATCAGATTTTTAACAAATTTTCATCATTTCCTTTGTCACAGTTAAAAAATAACTTAGTTCAAATTATCAATATATGCATTTACCTATGAGGATTTTAATTTCTAATGAATAGTAGTAATGGCATCATTATCTCCCTATAAAAGAGGCTGTATGCCACATCTGTGAAGACATTTTAGGAGAAGAAAATAGAATAAAATGGTAGGCATTCTTCAGAAATAGCACCGATTTCTAGGTCTCTAAAACAGTCATTATAAACAGTCATTGTAAGACCATTCTTCAATTGGCACTTCAGTGTTGAAGGACTACATACTTTCTGTGCTTAATAATCTTCAACATTTTATCTCTCATAGATTTTCATTTTTTTAATGGATTCTTTTTTAAAAATTCAGAATCTTCCATTTCACTTAATGTGTCTAATTTCTTCAAATTTCAAATTTTTTCTTTTTTTTCTGTATAAATTCTTAGCTTTTTCAAATTTCAGTTACCTATTTATTCATTAAGAAAAGATAATAGTTATGGACAGTTTCTGTTTTTTTTTTTTCCCAGCCTGTGGTCAGCTGTTAGATGAGGCACAAGTGACCTTATCCTTCCAAGACTGGCTGGCCAGTGTCACAGAACGTATACATCAAACTATGCACTATCAGTTTGATGGTAAGTATTGTCACCCAACTGAGCTGTTGCTGGAAGTAGAGGAAATTAAAGTAATTGTATTTTAGTTCTACTGTTTTGATAGAAAAAATAATCAGACTTCAATCCAAAGTGCATTGAACCATAAAAAAGTAAAATTCTAAATGAAAGGGAGGAATAATTAAAATGCAGAACCAGCAAAATGAATTTATGGATGGGGTAGAAAAGCACAGCAAATAATAAATAAAAGTACATAGCTTGATCCTGGTGGGGGGTTGGGGGAAGGGAGGTGTTCCTGTGTCTGCACTCATATCTGTGTTTGTGTGCAAGCATGTATGTTAGGTGACAGACATACTAAAACTTTAGCATATCACTGTAACCCCAAAACTTAAAGAAAGAGGAGGAAATAATTTAGAGAAAAATCTAAACATGTGAGGGGCCTCCCCTGATGGCACAGCGGTTGAGCGCTGGCCTGCGAAGCTGCCCGCAGCCTCTGCAGGTGCCGGTTCGATCCCTGGCCACCAGGCGAGGGTCCCACATGGCGTGAAGATCTCTCCTGCTGCCCGATGCTCCCCTCAGCAGTGTGCTTCGGTCCTTCTGCCTGCTCTGTTCCCTGATCTGGCTCTGGTGAATTCTCTCACCCTCCCGTGCTTCTGACTGTACCCGGTGCTTGTATAAATAAATAAATAAATCTTAAAAAAAAAAAATCTAAACTTGTGAGACTAAGATAATTGCGTAAAATTATGTACATGCTGAGGAAGATTAGAAAACCCAGGATGGATTTGGGTTGATTGTCATACCTTCATGGTATTTCAGCAGTTTCAGAGGTAGACCAGCCAGTTCATGTCCATCCCTGATGGATGGCTTCCTAGGATTTTTACAAAATGCAATACTCATGGATTTTTTTTTTATAATTTTATTTTTATATTCCCCATACAATTGCAACCCCCTTATTTTGACCCCAATCCCTCCCCTCCCCGCCACCCCACCCCCCATAGAGTATCTCTGGTTCATAGTTTTTTGTTGATTTTGATTTTCACTTTCTTATAGTTATTCATTTTCCTGGTCCCTTATTTAAGTTTTCTAGATTCCTGCTATGAGTGAGACCATCCGGTATTTTTCTTTTTCTTTCTGGCTTATTTTGCTGAGCATGATCCCTCCCAGTGCCATCCATGTTGCTGCAAATTGCATGTGTTTATCTTTTTTGAATGCTGAGTAATATTCCATACTCATCGATTTTTGAGGCAACTCATAGCATTGTTGGATAATGATAGCTGTGAGGAAGGTCTTCCTTATGCTAAGTGGAAACGTTAACTTATACTTCTGTGGATATAAGTTCTGCACTCTAGCTGCATGGAACAGTTCTGCTCCTATTTCCAAATAACAAAACCTGCCACTACACACATATACCCATTATCCTGCCTGATAATTTTCTCTTTTAATATATCTTTTGCTAGCTAATGCATTACAGATCTGCAAATACTCATCATGGCATATTTACATACCTTATATAATTTCGATATTCTTTGCTGAATATGTTGCAATTTGTGACCATCATTTTTTTTTTTTAAGATTTATTTATTTATTTATACAAGCACTGGGGGACAGTCAGAAGCACAGGAGGGAGAGAGAATTCACCAAAGCCAGAGCGGGGAACAGAACAGGCAGAGTGACGAAATACACTGCTGAGGGGAGCAGCGGGCAGCAGGAGAGGTCTGCGCGCCATGTGGAACCCTCGCCTGGTGGCCAGGGATCGAACTGGCGCTGTAGAGGCTGCAGGCAGCTTCGCAGGCCAGCGCTCAACCGCTGCGCCACCAGGGAGGCCCTGAACATCATTTTTTTTTTTAAGATTTATTTATGCATACAAGAACTGGGGTACAGCCAAAGGTACAGGGGGTGACAGGATTCACCAGAGAAAGAGTGGGGAACAGAACATGTAGATTGACTGAACTACACTACTGAGGGGAGCAGCAGGTGAGACAGGAAAGGTCTGCTGTGCCATATGGGTCAGCTACCTGGCAAGGGGTCAAACTCATGCTGCAGTGGCTGCGGATAGCTTCATAGTGCTGTGACTTAATCCCTTGTGCCACCAGGGAGCCCCCAGTTTATGAACAACATTTTGAAATTAAAGCACCAAAACTGAATAATAACCTGAGTATAGATACTCAATGGAAAGTGATAAGCTTTGAAGAATTCAAAGTAATTATGACTTACTGTGAAGGAAAGGGGCAAGGACACGATCTTGACACATATGCTTAATTTTACTTATTTTTAAAATTTAAAATAAATAGGGCCTCCCCGGTGGCGCAGCGGTTGAGCGCTGGGTTGCCAAGCTGCCCGCAGCCTCTGCCGCGCCAGTTCGATCCCCGGCTGCTCCCCGGCCACCGAAGGAGGGTCCCACATGGCGCGCAGACCTCTCCTGCCGCCCGCTGCTCCCCTCAGCAGTGTACTTCGGTCCTTCTGCCTGCTCTGCTCCCCGCTCTGGCTCTGGTGAATTCTCTCACCCTCCCGCGCTTCTGACTGTACCCAATGCTTGTATAAATAATAAATAAATAAATCTTTAAAAAAATTAAAAAAAAAAAAAAAAATTTAAAATAAATAAAACGTCTTCAAAAGTTACTTTTTAGACAAAATAAGCTGGGGGGGGGGCAGTTAAAGGGAGAGTCTTTAAATTTTCCTTTTAGGGCCTACCCCAGTGGTGCAGCGATTGAGTGCTGGGCTGCAAAGCTGCCCGCAGCCTCTGCAGCACCGGTTCGATCCCCGGCCGCCGGCTAGGGTCCCACATGGCACGCAGACTTCTCCTGCCGCGCCTGCTGCTCCCCTCAGCAGTGTGTTTCGTCATTCTGCCTGTTCTGTTCCCTGCTCTGGCTCTGGTGAATTCTCTCACCCTCCCGTGCTTCTGACTGGACCTAATGCTTGTATAAATAAATAAATCTTTAAAAATAAATACAAATTTTTTTCTTTTAAATTTTATATATTTATGTATTATTTGAAATAGTATAGCAAATACCTATTAACTTACCTCCCCAAACGGAATATGGAACATTTACAATAGCCCCTCTTCCATTCCCATAATACCCCCTTCACTAGCTCCATTACTACCACCTTTGTCAAAAGAAACTGTTTCTTAGAATTTTTCTTAGAATTAGCTCTTCCTTAGAATTTGAGTCTGTCTTTCATGAGGGCTTTTCTAGATTAATCTGTAAGCCTGACCTCTAACATATCAACTGAGTTCTGGTGAGTAAGCACTTGTTTTAGAACTGAAATGAAGAAAAAAGAATCAAATGAATTTAATAGCCCATAATCTAGTTTCAGGATGAAAGAATTTTAAAGTTCTTGGGGTGGTGAAGTCTCTAAACTGCCCAGATATTAATATTTTAATGGCTCAAAAGCAGTGGCAGTTTTGTTATTAATATTCTGAATTAAATAAAGGAGGCTAAATCAGTTAAAGGTATTCTATCTTTCTATGGAATTTTAGAAAACCTTTCATTTAATTTTTCTTGGCCTACTCTTTGTTTCAAAAAAGCATCTAAATTGTCTATAAGAGTCTTCTTTAAGAGACAGTCAAGGTTTTGTCCAGGCCAGTAGAAATTATAGGTTTTATACCTGTGGTTCTGGATGTTGATGTTTTTCCTCTGCCAGGACTAGCCCCATGGGCAGAATTTTGTTTCCCTCCCCGCTTCGGCAGAATTTTTAAGGAAAACTCTGAACTCCTTGACCCCTTTCATGAGCACACTTTCTGTTGAATTTTTGTTTAGTGTCTTGCAAGTTGCTTTAAGAAGTTTGATAAATATTTTCAAGCATTTTGGCTATCTTGAGATTATATTTAGAGAGAAGGATTGATGCTTATTGGATGGTGTCTTAATTTTGTGGTTTCTGGCTTGTAGGTTCCTGACCATGTGAGTCTGCATTTACTTTTCTTAGACATGAATGTAAATAGCAAGTGCTTAGAGATAGCCAGAAGTAAATCAAATTTACCTTCTCAATTCAGATCATTATTCTCATCTCATCTCAGTTCATAAGGAAACGTCTGTGTCAGGGTAATGTTTATAAAATAGGGGATTTAAAAAGTTATCCTTGGTGGATGACAAAGATCTGGTGTATTTTTAAAGTTGCAAGGGATCACATGTAGGGGTGGTGACAGTGCTTGACTCATAAAGGTCCATCAAAGCCTTCTTTTAGCCTCTGTATAAAAAAACTCAGTGGTATTTTTAGTATTTACTGCTCAGTCCCATGTCTTCCACTCCTCCCTACAAACCAGAGAGCACAGAGTTTCTTTAAATGAGTTTTTTCTTATTTCCTGTAGGCAAACCAGAGCCACTGGTGTTCCACATTCCACAGTCCTTTTTTGATGCCCTGCAACAAAGGATATCTATAGGAAGTGCAAAAAAACGGCTCCCCAATTCTACCACAGGTATGGGATTTTTCCTCAGCGATAGCTGTCTTAACTTTAGAGAAATATGTTTGGAAAACTCATCTAGAACTTTCAGGATTAAAACTTCTAGTCATATCTCAGAGCATGAAGCCTCAGCCAATCAGCTCTTGGAAAAATGATCACATTCTTCAAAAACCCCATACTTACTCCATTAAGAGTTTTTGGAAAGATTCAGAAAGCTCAAACATGTTAAAGAGCAGCTGTAAAGTATAGCAGAAATACCCACCAAGAAGTTTGATATTTTCTAGATCTGAAACAATTCCAGTGAAAGTTTTACAGATTCCAGTTGTTGTTTAACTGGCTTCTTAGAAACATATTATAAAAACTAAAACTTTTTCCATAATTCTCAATTTTTGATGAAAGAATGTTTTATTTTTAGAATAATTCTTAGGATTGGAACATTTTAATTACATTTCAATGCTTCTTTTTTTTTTTTTTTAAAGATTTATTTATTTATGTGTATAAGAACTGTGGTGCAGATCAGAGGTGCAGGGGATGACAGGATTCACCAGAGAGAGTGGGGAGCAGAACAGGCAGATCCAGTGAGAAGAGCAGCGGACTAGGCAGGAGAGGTCTGCTGCGCCATGTGGGTTGCTCCCTGGCTGGCTGGGGATTGAACTCGTGCTGCGGTGGCTTGATAGTGCTGTCTTTAACCCCTGAACCACCAGGGTTTCATGTAGTATCTTTCTACTAAAAATCTCAAGATCCCCTTAGGAAGTAATTGGAAATACTGAAGAGAAGAGGGAGAAAGGATTGCTCAGTGGCAAATAGCCCAAGTGTAACTACAGTTAGAAATCAGTGCTGTTTCTTCAGCAAATTGTCATTTGATGATGTAATAGTGACTGTTAATTCTACTTTTGAATAGTGTAAGCTGTTAGCCATTATATTCAGGGCCATAAAAATCTTTGTCTTTATAGCTTACCTTCTGACTTTTGAGGCCGTATTGATTCTTTATTCCATTTTAAATGTTAGACCTAATGCATTCATTTTAAGACTTTTTTTTTTTTTTTTTTTTATAGAGGCATGCTTTATTTATTTGTTTGCTGGTTTGTTTGTTTGTTTTGTTTATACATGCACTGGGTACAGTCAGAAGCGCGGGAGGGCGAGAGAATTCACCAGAGCCAGAGCGGGGAGCAGAGCAGGCAGAAGGACCGAAGCACACTGCTGAGGGGAGCAGCGGGCGGCAGGAGAGGTCTGCGCGCCATGTGGGACCCTCCTCTGGTGGCCGGGGAGCAGCCGGGGATCGAACCGGCGCCGCAGAGGCCGCGCGCAGCTTCGCAACCCAGCGCTCAACCGCTGCGCCACCGGGGAGGCCCCTAATGCATTCATTTTAACCCACCCCTTATCTGCTTTTTTCAGTCCTTTCAATGGAACTCCTTTATAATCCTGCAGTCAGGACAATGGGTTAGCAACCACATTAGCAGGCTTATACTCCATGTAATTATTTTAAGGCATATGATTTAACTTCTTATGTACCTAAAGTTGTAAGAGGTTGTAAGAAACTGTTTTGTAATGGTGTCCTGCTTGTGTGACTTTGGCAAATAAGTTTTTAAGTTAGCAAAAAAAAGTAGCATCTCGAAGCATCTGAGATTTAGCATAATCCATATCATTTGATTTGTCACTTTCTGTGAAACCTTAGTATATTTTTGTATCTGGGATTTCTTTTTAAAAGAGCTGAGATTCTATAAGGATAGACTATCAGTGCTTTGAAATCTTTAGAAACTGGGTAACAAAAAGAATATTGTTTTTGGGTAGTCAAATTTTGTCTCCTTTTTACTTTTCAGCTTTTGTTCGTAAGGATGCCTTGCCCTTGGGAACCTTTTCCAAGTATACCTGGCATATCACTAATATCTTGCAAGTTAAACAAATTTTAGATACTCCAGAGGTAAGAGTTTATCTCTACAATAGTGGGAGGGCTGTGAGGGGAAGAAGGAAACAAGTAGGGAAAGTATGTTTGCACCCATTTCCTGGAGGTTTAGACACTAGAGCGAATGTCTTTTTATTTTAATATTCAGAAGTATTCATAACTTTGTAGTTCTGATTTTAATGGGTAGTTCTGATAACTTGTAAAAATATCTTAAATTAGAATATCCTTTTTCTCTGCTTTTGAGATCAGAAAACAGAGGTGATTTTTCCTATAAATTAAATAATGATCCCCTCCTTGCTGTGGTGAGCCCTAGACTAACTGACAGGCAACTAGAAAATAGAGAAATAATTTGAGATGATTTACTGTTTGTGAAGTCAATGGCCAGCACAGTTAAACCCTCATCCCCAAACCACAATTTAGTTCTCATTAAAGAAATGGCCACTAATTAATGTGTTCTTTTTCCGAGGAAATATTAGATATTTTTTATACTTTTTTTTTTTTAAGCAGATTTTGAAAATTTGAGGATTTTGAAAATTTTCCTTTCCGACAGTAATGGAATGTTGTAGAAAATTTAGAATAATGTGATTTGATATAGTAATCCATTAAGTTTTTTTTTTTTTTTTTTAAAGATTTATTTATACAAGCACAGGGTACAGTCAGAAGCGCAGGAGGGTGAGAGAATTCACCAGAGGCAGAGCAGGGAACAGAACAGGCATACTGATGAAGTACACTGCTGAGGGGAGCAGTGGGCACAGCAGGAGAAGTCTGCACGCCACGTGGGACCCTTGCCAGCCACCAGGGATCTAACCGGTGCTGCAGAGGCTGCGGGCAGTTTCACAGCCCAGTGCTCAACCACTGCACCACAAGGGAGGCCCTCCATTAAGTTTTTTTTAAAGATTTACTTATGCATACAAGAGCTGGGATGTAGGCCAGAGGTGCGGGGGTAGGGGTTGAGAGGATTCACCAGAGATAGAGTGGGGGAAGAACAGGCAGATCTATTCTGAAATACACTGCTGAGGGGAACAGCAGGTGAGACAGGAGAGGTTGGCTGCACCATGTAGGTCACCTCCCTGGTTGGCCAGGGAATCAAACTTTTGCTGCAGTGGCTGGTGATAGCTTGATAGCGCTGTCTTTAACCCCTGGGCCACCAGGGAGGCCCCAATCCATTAAGATTAATTGCAAGGCATTGTTATGTTCAGAAAAAGAATAAATTGGTACCTCCAGAACTTATATGTATTCCCTAGAAAAAGCCTAGGTTAGCACCTAAAAATACCTGAAGAACTTCTTTAAACACAGGATGTCTCAGACAATCTAGAACAAGGGGTATTCTGGGAGGCACTGATGCAACCCAGAGCAAAATCAAGTGAAAGTAGAGTTAATAATCATTGGGCTTCTGTCCATTGTGTGTTATTTATCTACATTGTCTCATTTAATCCTCTAGCCATACATTGGCATTCACTATATTTTACAGATGAAAAGCAGGCTATGAGAAGTTCAGTAACTTGCTCATTCTGCTGTTTAGTAGCAAAGGCAGAATTCAGTTCAAGTTCTGCGTGGCTCAATCTCAAGGACAGCACACAGGATGTGAGATCAGCTGTAGGTGTTGCTGCTAGAGATTTAGGAGAAGAATGCTGCTAGCAAAGCAGTAGGGGGAGGAATAAAACTGACTTTAGAGCAAATCTGTGCCAACAGCTGTGATATAAGCATGAATATGTGGGGTTCAGTTTCTAATGGTTTGGCTAAGTTCTAATCAGAGAAAGAAGGAAAAAGCCTTTTAAGCAAGAAAAGACAGATATATTCGTAGAATTTACATGAAAATAGAGGGAAGTTGTAATTTGAGCATAGTTAACAAAGAATGAGTAAATAAAAGCTCTGTTGTCATCTGAATGTTTGTCTGTTTTGAAAGTTCTTCCTTTCTCACGTTTCTTGGTATCTGTGTCCAGATGCCCTTGGAAATCACCCGGAGTTTCATCCAGAACCGGGATGGGACTTACGAACTGTTTAAATGCCCTAAAGTGGAAGTAGAGAGCATAGCAGAAACCTATGGTCGTATAGAAAAACAACCAGTGCTTCGACCCTTGGAACTCAAAACTTTTCTCAAAGTTGGTAAGTGAATTGGTGATTTCATTGGTACATCTTCCTTTCAGGATCAACAATGTGCAGTACACTGCCCTAGATTTTTTATTTTGACCTCAAACAAATTCATTCATTTATAAAGGTAGTCATGAGATAAGGTGTTTTGTTTCATTTGAGTCAGTGTCTTTAAATATATATGTATATATTTAAGATTTATTTTATTTATTTATACAAGCACTGGGTACAGTCAGAAGCGCGGGAGAGTGAGAGAATTCACCAGAGCCAGAGCGAGGAACACAACAGGCAGACTGACAATCATACTGCTGAGGGGAGCAGCAGGCGTGGCAGGAGAGGTCTGCGCACCATGTGGTACCCTCGCCTGCGGCCAGGGATCGAACTGGCACTGCAGAGGCTGTGGGCAGCTTCGCAGCCCAGTGCTCAACCACTGCGCCACCAGGGGAGGCCCTAAATATATATTCTTTAAGATTTATTTATTTATACAAGAACCGGGATACAGGCCAGATTTGCGGGAGAGTGAGAAGACTCATCAGAGACAGAGTGGGAAACAGAACAGGCAGACTGACTGAAATACACTGCTGAGGGGAGCAGTGGGCAAGACAGGAGAGGTCTGCTGCACCATGTAGGTTGTTCCGCCACCAGCAGGGATCGAACCGGCACTGCAGAGGCTGTGGTCACAGCGCTGTGCTCCACCACCTGTGCCACAGGGAGGCCCTGAGTCAGTGCTTTTATAAGAAAATTATAGAAGTAACACATTTTCATTGTAGAGAAATCATAGATTTCATTACAGAAAATAAAGGAGAAAAAAAAATCATCTATAATTCCATCCACATTAAAGACATTACCATTACAATTTTGGTGTTTACCTTTTCAGATAATTTTTTGTGCATGAAGAGAATTCCTAAAACATGGGGTCGTACCTCATCTGCTTTTTCACTTAAAAATATATCATGAACAGCTTTCTATGTCTGCTATTAACTTTTTTGATTATTATAAAACATATATAATATAAAATTTATTATTTTACCTATTTTGAAAAATTGTACAATTCTGTGGCACTAGGTGCGTTTCCATTGTTGTGCAACCTATCACGACCATCCATCTATTAAGACTTCTTTTTTTAAAGATTTATTCATGCATACAAGAACCAGGGTACAGGCCAGATTCTGGGAAGGTGAGAGGATTCACCAGAGACAGAGTGGGGAACAGAACATGCAGGCTGACTGAAATATACTGCTGAGGGGAGCAGTGGGTGAGACAGGAGCGGTCTGCCGCGCCATGTGGAATTCTTGCTGGCCGGCTGGCATCAAACCGGTGCTGCAGAGGCCACGGACAGCTTCACAGCACTGCACTCAACTGCCTGCGCCACCAGGGGAGGCTCTCCTAAGACTTTTTAATCTTCCTCAACTGAAACTGTATCAATTGAACACTTAACCCCCTATTCTTGCCTTCTTCCAGCTCATGACAGTCATTTTACTATGAATTTGATTACTCAAGGAACCTCATATAAGTCAAATCATGCAATATTTCTTTTTGTGATGGCTTATTTCACTTAGTATATGTCTTCAAGGTTCATCATGTTGTATATAGCATCTATCAAAAGTTCTTTCCGGGCCTCCCCGGTGGCGCAGCAGTTGAGCACTGGGTTGCGAAGCTGCCCGCAGCCTCTGCAGCGCCAGTTCGATACCCGGCTGCTCCCCAGCCACCAGAGGAGGGTCCCACATGGTGCGCAGACCTCTCCTGCCGCCCGCTGCTCCCCTCAGCAGTGTACTTCGGTCCTTCTGCCTGCTCTGCTTCCTGCTCTGGCTCTGGTGAATTCTCTCACCCTCCCTCTGACTATGCCCAGTGCTTGTATAAATAAATAAATAAATATTTTTTTAAAAAAGTTCTTTCCTTTATAAGACTGAATAATATTCCATTATATGTATATACCCCATTTTATTTATCCCTTCATTGGCTGATAGACATTGGGTTGCTTCTGACTTACCTGTTAGGAATACTTTTTTAACAGCTGCATAAAATTCATTCTTTAAGGAACCTTGCTCTAATCAATCCTCTAAGTTCAAACTTTTTGCTCTTATAAACATTACTTCCTTTTAGAACTGACTTCTTTTAGATAAGCCTTTTATATCCTTAATTATTTCCTGATTTAGGATATTCTTAGGGTTAAATTCCTAAAAGTAAAATTGGAGGGTCAAAAGTTATATACATTTTTAGGGCTTTGTTTTTTGTCACACTGCTCTTCAGAAAGATTGTAATATTTTTTAGGGTAGCTTATTCCTGTCAACCATGTATGAAAGAGTTTGCCTCTCTCTCTTTTTTTTAAGATGATTTTATTTATGCATAACAAGAACTGGGGTACAGGCCAGAGGTACGGGGGAGTGAGAGGATTCATTAGAGACAGAGTAAGGAGCAGAACATGCCTACTGACTGAAATACACTGCTGAGGGGAGCAGCAAGCCAGACAGGAGAGGTCTGCTACACCATGTGGGTAGCTGCCTGGCTGGCCGGAGATTGGATGTCGAACTTGTGCTGCAGAGGCTGCGGATAGTTTCATAGTATTGTACTTAATACCTTGTGCTACCAGGGAGGCCCGAGTTTTTCTTTTTTTAAACTTTGTTGATTTGATAGGCAAAAAATGTTGTCTCTTTTAGTTTGCATTACTCTCAGTGAGAATAAACTTTTCATATTGGTTATTTGTGTATCATGACTTTTTGTCTATTTTTAACTCAGGTATTTGCATAAGTTAATAATCATAATGACAACTATAGCAACTGTACTTTTTAAGCACCTACTCTGTGCCAAGTAGTATGTTAAGTGCTTTTTGTGTATTAATTCATTGGTTGCTTATCAACCCACTGAGAGGTAGGGTCTGTGATCCCACTCTGTAGATGAATAAACTGCAGTAAAGGGAGGTGCAGTCACCTGCCCAGAGTTATACAAGTAAGTGGTGGCCTTCAGCCTCAGGCAGTTTTGGACTCCAGAGCCTGCATTCTAACCACCTAGTAACTCACCTATTTTTCCATTGTCTAGACCATAAGCTATTTCAGGGCTGTGAACTATGTGATTCTTGGTCATCAGTGTACCCCAGGACAACACAGTGCCTGGTCCATAATAGGTTCTCAGTAAAGGCTTGTTGAGTGAACAATGAATGAGTGCATGCATGATGCCAGCCAAAATTTGAATTGCTTATTTTATGTTCTAGCTGGCAGGCACCCTTCATATCTCTAATTATACATTTATTCTTTTAGGAGAAATGTAGAATTATTTTGTCGAGTCTTGTGAACATATCCCTATATGTAATTTTGTTGCTCTTGTGAATAGGATGTCTAACATGTTTCTCACTTGTTATTGCCCATGTATGAAAAACTCTTGGGGTTTTTTTTTTTTTTTTTTTTTTAGATTTATTTATTTATTTATTTATTTATGCAAGAACTGGGGTACAGGCCAGATGAACGGGATGGTGAGAGGATTCACCAGAGACAGAGCAGGGAACAGAACAGGCAAACTGACTAAATACACTGCTGGGGAACAGCGGACGTGACAGGAGAGGTCTGCCTCACCATGTGGGGACCCTCACTTGCCAGCCGGGATCGAACCCGCGCTGCAGAGGCTGTGGATAGCTACACAGCGCTGCACTCAACTGCCTGTGCCACCAGGGGAGGCCTGGTTTTGGTATTTTTATTATCAAATTGGCCTACTAGTTGCTTCAAATCCTCTGGTTTTGGGGAAATCACCCAAAAAATAGTGGTAATTTTGTTTCCTATCACATGTTTTTAATCTCATTTTTTTCCTTGTTAAATTAGCTAGGATTTCAAGAGCAACAATGAATAATTATAAAAATAACAGCCATGATTATCAATTTAGACTATACTAAAAGCTCTTCCAGTGTAGCATTTTCCCTACTATGTCTTTAAGAAGAAAATGTGATAAGATTCTGTGTAAAAAGAAGTACCTGGTAAAATAAGTTTGAGAAATGTCTCATATTAAAAGACACTTCATTGGGGCCTCCTCTGGTGGCGCAGCAGTTGAGCGCTGGGCTGCAAAGCTGCCCACAGCCTCTGCAGCGCCGGTTCGATCCCTGGCCACAGGTGAGGTTCCCACATGGCATGACAGACCTCTCCTGTCTCGCCCTCTGCTCCCCTCAGCAATGTGTTTTGTCAGTCTGCCTGTTCTGTTCCCCACTTTGTCTCTGGTGAAGCCTCTCACCCTCCCAACATTTGGCCTGTACCCTGGTTCTTGTATAAAATAAATAAATAAATCTTTAAAAGACACTTCATTGTAAGGTGCTCAATGTAGTAACAACTTTTTTTCCCCATTATTGACATGACTTTATTATTTCCTTTTTAATTTTTTTTATTATTTTTTAAATTCTATATATTTTTTACATCATTTTTCATTTTTTCACAATGTATGCATTTTCATCTTGGTTATCGTCCCCATACAGTTCCCACCCCCACCCTTGTTTTGATCCTACTCCCTCCTCCCCCACCCCTGTAGTGTGTCTCTGGTTTATAGTTGCTTGTTGATTTTGATTTTTACTTTATTATAATTAGTCTTTTTCCTGGTCCCTTATTTAGGTTTTCTAAATTCCTGCTATGAGTGAGACCATCTGGTATTTTCCTTTTTCTTTCTGGCTTATTTCACAGAGCATGATCCCTTCCAGCTCCATCCATGTTGCTGCAAATTGCATGAGTTTATCTTTTTTGATTGCTGAGTAACATTCCATTGTGTATATGTACCACATCTTCTTGATCCAGTCATCTATTTTTGGGCATTTGGCTTGTTTCCATAGCTTACCTATTGTAAATAGTGCTGCTATAAACGTAGGGGTGCAGGTGCCCTTTTGAGTTAATGTTTCTGTGTCCTTTGGGTAAATACCTAGGAGTGGAATTGCTGGATCCTATGGAAGCTCCATCTTTAGCAGGTTGAAGAATCTCCACACAGCTTTCCATAGTGGTTGAACCAGTTTGCACTCCCACCAGCAGTGCAGGAGAGTTCCTTTTTCTCCACATCCTCACCAACATTTGCTGCTGTTAGTTTTTTTTTAATATGTGCCATTCTCACTGGTGTAAGATGGTATCTCATTGTGGTTTTCATTTGCATTTCCCTGATTACAAGTGATGCTGAACATTTTTTCATATGCCTCTTGGCCATTTGCATTTCCTCTTTGGAGAAGTTTCTTTTTAGCTCTCCTGCCCATTTTTGACTAGATTATTTACTTTGTTTTTGTTGCCTCTCATCAGCTCTTTGTAGGTTTTTGTGATCAGTCCTTTATCATTAGTGTTGTGTGCAAAAATGTTCTCCCAATTGGTGGGGTTTCTCTTTGTTTTGGTTCGTGTCTCTTTTGCTGTACAGAAGCTCTTATTTTGATGTAGTCCCAGCTGTTTATCTTTGCCTTCACTATCACTGCTTTGGGTGATGTGTCTTTAAAGATGAGTAACTTTTTTTTGGTGAGGAAAGAAACTTTGCCAAAAAACAAAAACAAAAACCTGAAGAAGAAAGGAAACTACCAAATGACTACTCTGGTTATCAACCCAGTTGTTACACTCAGAACTCAGAAAATGTTACAGTTGGAATAGGGAGGCAGCAGGGTATAGTGCTTCAGAATATAATTTATCAGGTTTAGATTCCATCCTATAAATTTGCATGTTAAAAAGATTCAGAAATAGGGCCTCCCCCGTGGCGCAGCGGTTGAGCGCTGGGTTGTGAAGCTGCCCGCAGCCTCTGCAGCGCCGGTTCGATAACCAGCTGCTCCCCGGCCACTGGAGGAGGGTCCGGCATGGCGCACAGACCTCTCCTGCCGCCCGCTGCTCCCCGCAGCAGTGTACTTTGGTCCTTCTGCCTGTTCTGCTCCCTGCTCTAGCTCTGGTGAATCCTGTCACCCTCCCGAGCTTCTGACTGTACCCAGTGCTTGTATAAATAAACAAACAAACAAATAAATAAATAAATAAATCTTTAAAAAAAAAAAAACCTCTAAAAAAAAGAAAAAAAGATTCAGAAATAAAAAAATACCTGTTGAACTTTACTTACCCTAAGGTTTCCCAAACTTATTTGACAAGTGAACACTTATTAGGTGCATACCATTACAGAAAATACTTTTCTAGGAAAACTACTCTAAAGTTTCACTATATAATAAAGTGCTATTGATTATTTTCAGATTTTTTTTTTTTTTGCTATTGCAACAGTGTCATATGCTTAGGTTAAGGCTTTGTTAAGTATTTTGTTAGGAACTAATACTGAATTTTATGAAATGCCTTTTTATCATTGAGGCTTGTCTTTTGAGCCAAGCATAGTGAACTTTATTAATAAATTTCTAACTTTGCATTAATCTTACACTCCTGTAATAAATCCTATTTATTTTTTAAAGACTTATTTTGGGCCTCCCTGGTGGCGCAGCAGGTTAAGCACCATCCTGTGAAGCTGTCTGCAGCCTCTGCAGTGCGGGTTCAATTCCCCGCCGACCAGGGAGAAACCCACATGGTGCAGCAGACCTCTCCTGCCTTGCCTGCTGCTCACCTCAGCAGTGTCTTCGGTCCGTCTGCCTGTTTTGCTCCCCACTCTATCTCTGGTGAATTCTCTCACCCTCCCGCACCTCTGACCTATACCCCAGTTCTTGTATAAATAAATAAAATCATTAATAATAAAAAAAAGACTGACTTATTTATGCATCCAAGAACTGGTGTGTAGGCCACAGGTAAGAGGATTCACCAGAGACAGAGTGGATCACCAGAGAACAAGTGGATCTACTGAGATACAACGCAAGGACCAATGCAAGGCAGGAGAGGTCTGCTGCACATGTAGGTTAGCTCCCTGTCTGGGGATCAAATTCATGTCACAGTGGATGGTGGTAGGTTGGTAGTGCTGAGACTTTAATCCCTGCGCCATCAAGGAGGCTCTGTTTAGCATTCTTTAACTTTTTTGTTACTATTTTAAATTTCTTTATAAAATCTCAGTATTATATAATTTCAATATTATATAATTGATTTTTATTTTCCTTAAATTTTAGTTTAGTCCCTTTATTAGAATTGCTATAGTTGATACCTTTTTAAAAAAAAAAAAATTGGGCCCTTCCCAGTGGTACAGTGGGTGAGCACCGCGCTGTGAAGCTGTCGGCAGCCTCTGTAGTGTGGATTCAATCCCGGCCAGCCGGCAAGAATCCCACATGGGGCGGCAGACCTCTCCTGTCTTTCCTGCTGCTCCCTTCAGCAGTGTATTTCTGTTGTCTGCCTGTTCTGCTTCCTGCTCTGTCTCTGGTGAATCCTCTTACCTTCCATGCTTCTGGCCTGTACCCCAGCTCTTGTATAAAAATAAATGAATCTTTAAAAAAAAAAGACTTTTTTATGTATTTATACATTTAAGAGCTGGGGCTTAGGCCAGAGGTAGGGGGTGTGAGAGGATTCACCAGAGACAGAGTGGGGAGCAGAAGAGGCAGATCTACCGAAATACACTACTGAGTGGAGCAGCAGGCGAGACAGGAGAGGTCTGCTGCGCCATGTGGGCCAGCTCCCTGGCCAGGGATCAAACTTGTGCAGCAGTGGCTGCTGATTGCTTCATAGTGCTAAGATTTAACCCCTTGTGTCACCAGAGAGGCTCCAGTTTTTCATGTTTAAATCTTTGATTTTTTGAAATTAATTTTGATGTAAGGAACAAGGTAAGATTCAGCCATCTTTTATTTTCTTGCACATAGCTATCTGGTTAATGCATCTCATTTATTAAAAGATACACTTGTATTTCTTTGATTAATTGAAAATGCTACCTTTACTTTATGCTCAATTCTTCTTCTGTTGGTGTCCATTTGGAATTGTTCTGTTTTGATTTCTTTTTTTTTTTCAAATGTTCATTTATGCATACAAGAACTGGGGTAGAGCCTCCCCGGTGGTGCAGCGGGTTGAGGGCAGCTCTGTGAAGCTGTCCGCAGCTTCTGTGGGACAGGTTCAATTCTTGGCTGGCAGGGAGATACCCACATGGTGTGGCAGACTTCTCCTGTCTCGCCCGCTGCTCCCCTCAGCAGTGTTTTCAGTCCGTCTGCCTGTTCTGCTCTGTCTCTCGTGAATCCTCTCACCCCCCACACCTCTGGCCTGTACCCCAGTTCTTGTATGCATAAATAAGTAAATCTTTAAAAAAAAATGGGTCTTTATTTTCTGCGGACCAGCACAGCAGTAGACGATGAGGCCACCTCAGGGTTGAGAGAAGCGTGCAGGGTGGTCAGGGCGTCGGTGAAAGAAATGACAAACAGACACACTTCAAGAGTGAAAATCTGAGTGTAATTTTCTTTGAGTTTGTGTCCAATATATATATGTTTTCCAGAAGCACAGGGAAAATGAATATCAATGAAATTAGCTTGCTCATGGGCTCAGCCTATCACCATCAGGGAGGTGATCTACATAACAAGCAATGACTTTTATAGAAGAAAGAAGGAAGTTTAGAAAGACAATAAGGGATTAAAGTTTGTAGTTCTAGAAAGACGGGATAAGATTTTTAGCATTCTTGTAGTGGTTCCTGGTGGTCGTTATCTTTTGATAAGCTTCTGTCTTTTCAGGGAACTTCCGCTGTACTTCCTCTGCTTCAGGGTGTTTTGCTGTTCTCCGCCTGCATGCTGGTTGCCCAGCCGGACCTAGGGAAGGTTAGCCCTAAAGGTCACTGCAGGGGGAGGTGCAGCATTTATTCTTTCAAAGATAATAAATAATTCTCTGAATCTTTTTGGGGGGTAGATACAGCTGCTGTATTTATCCCCTCTTATTCATATACATATTTTTGGAAGTTATTGTTGTGGTACCTAGCACCATTTTTCAAATTAGCTTTTCAATCAACTCATATAGTTTTTTGGTTTTATTTACTTTTTTTTTCCTATTTAATTCCTGAACAAAGTAAGATCTGTCCAGACTAAAATTTTGAAATTGAACCATTGTTCCCTTTTTTTGTCAGGCAACACTTCCCCTGATCAAAAGGAACCAACACCTTTCATCATTGAATGGATCCCAGATATCCTTCCCCAGTCCAAGATCGGTGAGCTGCGGATCAAGTTTGAATATGGTCACCACCGGAATGGCCATGTGGCGGAGTACCAAGACCAGCGGCCCCCCCTGGACCAGTCCTTGGAACTGGCCCCTCTGACCACCATCACTTTCCCTTGAGGCAAAATAAGTCTTTTGCTGCTAAATTTGCACATCCCCTCCCCTTGACAACTTTAAATACCAGTTAGGTACTAGAACTACCTGTTTATTAGAGAACTGCTCTTAGATAAGATAAAATTTCTCGTATGTTCACATGGATTCTGTTGAAGTAACACTCTTCTTGTAAATAGCCTTTTTGGTGCTGCTATGTATAGTCTTCATTATAAATTTGGTGATATTTCTGGCTAGAGTTTTTAAAGGAACAGAGAAAACCACTTCACTTTCCTCCTTTAAGAGCTCCCCTTTAGAGTTTGTTTTAACCCTTTTCTAATTCTGTAAACAAGTTAGCAGCAGTCTGCCCTACACCAGTAGTGTTGGAAAGTTAACAATCTGGTTAGGGGACAATGTTAAGAACCATCTGGGCAAAGTTAAACTCAAATGCTATTCTCAATGCACAGTGTCCCTAGTTTTTCCGTATTATATCTCATGTTGCCTGGTTATGAAATTATAAATTTTGGAGGGCAGAGATGTAGGTGATAGTGAAATAGGAAAAAGAGTATCCAAGTATCAAGGGAATATTGACATTTCAGAAAAATGCTTGTAAGTGCTTTCTCCAAAAGTTTTACTGCTGGAAAGTTGAATTCCTTTTTCTGAGATAATATGTTGATTACAGAATGGAGCTACTGAAAGCCACAGAAATAGAAATGTGTCTTGAAGAAAAGAAGAAGGGACTGAACCTTTCCTACATGCCTACTATGTGTCAGGCGTGTCCATTTACATTCTCACTTAATCATTTTTCTCACTTAGTCCTCATTATCGAGTTTAGGCATTACCCTTCTTTTACAAAGTTAAAGAAAGAGCCTCTCTAAAGAGAATGTGTTATCCTAAAGTACATGTTCTTTCCACTTTATCATGTTGTTTTGATATAAATTCCTTATAATTCCTTGTCTTGGGAAGATAAGAAAAATCTGCATGAAGTAGGCTCTTGGTTGTCTTTTGATTGCAAGTAACAAAAACCCAACTCTCACCAGCTTAGGCAAAAATGAGCATGAACGGCTGGTTTGTGGTCATTAAAATAGGGCTGGACAAGCACACTGGGGTAGAGTGGGTGTGTAGGCTAGGTCTCAGCACTCGGAGCCAGGTTCCATCCCACTTCTGCCTCTCCTGGGTCTTCATTCATTCTTGGCACAGAATGGTAGGAATTCTGGCTCCTGAAGCACCTGAGATTGTGGCTTCCATCCTGGAACTGGACAGATCGCATTCCTCCCTCCTGAACCAAAGGGCAAAACCCCTCAAGAAATAATAGAGGGGGGCTGAGCATTTTTGTAAAAGGGGTTTTGCCTTTACAAGAGGGGGATGGGTAGACAAGTTAATTGTTTATCTGTGTGATTGAGGGCTAGCTTGTATGGATACTTCTCAGGTACTTAAGACTGAGGAGAGCCTGAGGAGGTTCACAATTTTAAACTTGCACTGGGCTTCAAAGGAAGGGGTTTGGATAGTTACGGAGAAGGGGAGAAATTAAAACTAGAGGCAGAGGGCCTGCCAGAAAAGCAAGAAACTTAAATAAATATGATTGTTAGCCCATTCTGAGAACTTTGAGGACATCATTCACAGCTTTTCAACAGAGACAAATCTGTGGGTGACAGGCAGATGCCTGACCTGGAAGACTACAATGGTTATAAAACACATGGGTGGAGTGAATAATCTACCAGAGAGTGCCACACTCAAGTGCTAAGGTCTTCACTTAGGACCATCCCGGCCCACTTTCACTGCCCATCAAACTTGAATGGGGGCTAGAGTTATATTGATTCTCTCTTCTAACATGACACCCTTTCTTCCAGGTCAAGCATAGGCGTATGAGCACCTATGGAACTTGCACCATCACTCCAGACACCTCTGGGACACCACCAGCATCCCACTGTTGACCTCATTTCAGACTACTCACACTACCAGAGTATCTGGTAGATACTTCTACCAGAACAGTGGTCTTTGAACTGTACCCTCTTGCTGCTGCCATTCCACACTGCAGTCTCCATTTGTATTTTGTATTTTATAATACAGTATTCAGAACCCTCTATATCTGGTCTCCTGTCTACTGCACAGACTGATCATCCTCAGACAGTGAGTGTGTTAATGGGTGAGAGAGGATGCTGTCTAAAACCTCCCCTGGGGTAATGTGGCCGGGCCCCAATATTGTGGGCATTGTGAGAAAAACCTGTTATTATTCCTCCAACCAAGACACTAGTTCTAACATGTCCCTGCCTCTATAAGAACTGCTGTCATCTCAACAGCTTGATAGTATTCAAAGGAGTGATATGTCATTTGGAGACCTCCAGAAAAGCTGACTCCAAGAACCACCCACCTAAACGAAGGTCTGTAGGCCTGCCACCTGGCTCTCTCTAGGTACCAGATGTCATCAGCTCTGTAGGCCCCTGGACCCAACAATTTCAAGTCATTTAAGTCCACCCATCTTCTATTGATTGCTGTTATGTCTGATCTGCCAATAACCTTTTTCCTGTAGCCCATATGCACATAGACATGAACATACTCCAGTCCCCAGCCCTGGCCACCTACGGAGTGCAACCTGTGGTGACAGTCAAGATACTGTTCTCTGTCAGAGCCTGATTTTCCCATGTAAGAAAGAGCCCAAAACTTGCCCTTCATTAGAAGAACCCGCAGAAATCCCACTCTTACCTGCTGAAGGTGAGGGAATGGTCAGGGGCTGCCCTCCTCCAGCTCCTTAAATTAACCAAACCCTTTCTAGCATAAACCAGGGACAATACAGATAAGGCAGCCTCAGGTAGCAGACCTGTGTCTACTAATTGTGAATTTTCTTAAGATGGATCTGCTTACCACTGCCCTCTCTCCTCTCAGTCTATTTCGCTACCTCTTTTTTTTTTTAAATCTCACATTCTGATTTCTTGATTTTCTATCTTTGCATCTTGTGATATTTTCTGAGACTCCTTGATTCTCTTTTTAGACCTCCTTTTTGACCTGGCTCCCTGCAGCCTGCCCTCCCATCATGCAGTTCTGCAAGCTCCCTTCACATCTTTCTAGACAATCCCACCCTGTCTCACCAATGAAGCAGTACGACCATACAATTTAATGTGCATTGTTAGAAAGCGTGTCCTGTTTCAGAAGTCCTGGGCTGAGTTTCCAGGTTCTGTGTTTCTATCATTAATCTGGATGCAGAGTGTGCCAGACTGCAGACTGCGCTTTGATTAGCAAGCCCTAATGCCTAACTTGCTACTGTGACTCCCATTTTTCATTGCCACTCATGGGGGAGGGAGGAGCAGTTATGAAGAGTAGAGAGGGCACTAGCTAGCTCAGAACTTGGCGTTTCAAGGAAGTCGGTGTCAGCTGCTTGATGGCACTCTCCCAGGAAGGTGCTCCAACTAAGGGAGGCACGAGTCTTGGCCCTCGCAACTAGTTCCAAGGACACTACAAAAAGTAGGTTTGTAACCTATACGTTTCCTGCGGTGTCTCTTCTCTATCCCCCGCAGCGTCACTTTTTCATTTGTCCTCCCCGCACCCTGTCCATGCTAAGATCCAGATTGCAGACCTTGGGTGCAAACCCCAATTGTGCGACCTTGGAGAAGTTATGTAACCCTCTGAGCCCGTTTCCTCATCTGGATGATGTGCATAGTAAATAATACACTGCGCGTGAAACGCTCCTTAAATGCCAGCCGGTACCCTTTCGCCCAATTGCAGTGCTCGCTTCTTCCTCTTTCACAGCTTCCTCTTACTTAGCCTTGAGGTCCGAACGGTGCTTTTTGTCCCTTTTAAGACTTTCTGTGCAGCTCTACTTCTGTTATCAGCTATACGGCAAGGTCACAATTTAATTGAACGTAAAAGTGGGTGGAAGTAAACATGATGAAAGGGAGAGGGGTGCTATTCATTCCTATTAAGAACATTATTTTGGTAAATTCGAATCAGGGGAGGTTATAACCATAAACGAAGGGGCATGGGGATGACGCTTCCACACTCCTACTGAGAAGAGAAGGAAGAAAAGACACGCGGGACGCCGCGACCGAAGCAGTCACGCGGCGACCGCCCCCTCGCCTCCACCAAATGACGTCAGCCTCGTTCTCCTCAACCCCGCGACGCCGCTTCCGGCCGAGTTGGCGGCTTTTCTTCCACCAGGCGGCGCCGCAGGACGTTCAGTGGCCGACTCCTGACGCGCAGCCGCACTGGACCCCGGACACGTCACCAGTTTCGCGTCTTTTCTGGAGAGCGCGGGAAGGCGAGCGCTGGTGGGTGGTGACGTCAGCGGGGTTCCCCGCGTGGCCCGCGGGGGCGGAGCCGGGGACGTGGCGCGCGCGGGCGAAGAGGGAGGAGGGGGAGGGGCGCCGAGCGCCGTTCCCGCCGCGGCCGAGCGGGCCGCGCCCACCGCGGACGCTCCGGCGCCCGCCTCGTGACCCACTGTAGGTCAGCGCCGGGGCCGACCTGAGGGAGGGTGCTGACGAGGCGGGCTCTGCGGGGAGGGGCGCCGGCGGCGGAGCGCCAGGCGTGCCTCGGGCACCGACCTCCTGGCACCCTGGGCGGCCGCGCCCTCGGCGGGCGGGATCGCGTCTGGACTCCTGCCCGCGGGTCCTCGGGGGCAGCGGAGCGGGCTCGCGGCGACAGGCAGCGCGGCTCCGCGGGGAAGGCGGAACTGCGCCCACCGGCTCGGGCCTCCCGGCCGCCTCCCCGGCTCCCTGGGATTGGCCACCCTCAGACCCAGGCGGATCCTAACTGGTGGAGAAAAAGAAAGAACCGGGGCCCTGGGGAGCCAGGCTTCGGATCTGAGCCGCCACTGGCTGTTTGCCGCGAGCGAGGCGTGCGGCGTTTCTGAGTGTCGGTTTTCTGAGCCGTGAAACTGAGAGCACCGACCACTTCACACACCGTTAGGCTGCGCCTGGCGCGAGGTAGACGGTAGTCAAAATATGAAGTTCCTTTTCCACTTCCTCGCCCACCAGGTCCTCAGAGCCAGTTTGCAGGAGCATTAATCCCTGAAAAGGCTTTTTTGTTGTTTGGGGTACTGACTTTTACTCGACACTTCCCTTTACGTAGGCTGGGCTCCACGGCCTGCCCAGTGAGTTTTTTTTTTTTCTTTTTTTATAGAGGCATGTTTTTTTTTTATTTACTTATTTGTTTGTTCGTTTATACATGCACTGGGTACAGCCAGAAGCGCAGGAGGGTGAGAGAATTCACCAGAGCCAGAGCGGGGAGCAGAGCAGGCAGAAGGACCGAAGTACACTGCTGAGGGGAGCAGCGGGCGGCAGGAGAGTTCTGCGCGCCATGTGGGGACCCTCCTCTCGTGGCTGGGGAGCAGCCAGGAATCGAACCCGCGCTGCAGAGGCTGCGGGCAGCCCCGCAACCCAGCGCTCAACCGCTGCGCCACCGGGGAGGCCCCCAGTGAGTTTTAAAGAAAGGGTGGCACCTGTGACCTAATAAGTTGAACCTTGGGTCTGATCGTAATTTAGGGAGGGAAT